TTTTTTTTTTTTTTTTTTCCTGGGCACATATCCTGGTAATTTCCAAAGTTATCTCCGGAAGGGTAAAAAAGTGGCATGCTCATCATTTAAGCAAGACCGATGGCCAGCTTCGCCGCAGTCTGACTGGCCTCAATATGGCGGTAGTTCAATCCCAGGGTAATAAGCTCCTGAAGGCTGGCATTCACCTTCTCATGCATTCCGGAATCCTGTGGCATGATTTTGCTAATCTCCTCGAGCAGCCGCGAACGGCAGTTGTAGTAGGTGCGTTCCGCGTTCTGTAGGCGTTGTCCGTGGTGCGCAGTGGCCTGGTGGGCAGCCTTGATGGCACTGGTCTGCGAGGTCGACCGGGTGCGCTTCATGGTGGTTGTGCCCGAGGGGCCGAGCACGCGCTTCTTGCGGCCCAGGTTCTCCTTCTTCTTGGATGCGTGGCTGGAGGTCGAGGTGGTGGGGGAGGCTTCGGGCGAGCTGGGGTGCTCGGAGGAAGTGTAATCGTGGACTCTCCGCATGTGGTCGTAGAGGTTCCAGCGGCGGGGGAAACCGTAGCCCGGGACGGAACGGTCGCATCCTTCGAAGAGGCAGAGGTGAGGGTTGTCGCCATGGCCGTGGAGGCCGTGGGCTTCGCGCTCGTGACGGAAGAGGCAGGCGTTGGAAGAGAACTGGAGCTGAGCGTCCATGCAGGAGGGGACCTTGCAGCGGTAGGGCTTGAGGTGCGAGTCAAGGTATTTGCTATTTTTATATTAGCATCGTTTTCGACGTTGGAGAGGCGGACGACATACTGATAAGCGCACTTCTGGGTAGTAGGCGGGTGGCTGCAAGGCTTGTCACCGTTGCCAAATGGGCAGTAGTACTTTCCGTCACTGTGGGTGGGCAGAGAATAATAAGGGTGGTCACGGGGGTTCTTCATATCCGTGCTGTCCTTGGATCCACGGCGAGCGGGCAGAGGGTGGAAGAATTCCTCTTGCTTCATCTGCTGAGGGGGAGTAGTCTGCAACGTGGGTCTGCGCGCCTGCTTGGAAGGTCTGATGGTTCTGTGGGGTGTCAGATAGAGAGCACAGGAGAATACGAACGGAATGACAAACCTCTGGGGATCCTGCTCATTGAGCGGCGGCGTAAGAGGAAACAAAGGGTCACCAAGGTTAATTCCGTGGCTGCTCAACGACGGAGTAGCAGTAACATCCTTGAGCATGGCATCATCCTGGGTCATAAACGACGGGTAACCAGATTGCGAGCACGAAGAAGTAACAGAAAAGTCATTGCTAGCTTCAGTCAAAGGAGGAGAAACAGGGGCAGTCTGGAAAATAGAAGAAGGAAGTCCGTCAAGGGAGGTCTGGTGCAGCATGGAGTTCCATGCGTCGTTGGCCGACATTTGGCCATCATCCATTTGGGAGCTGTGTCCAACGGAAAGAGAGTCATCGGTGCAAGATTGGGATCCATTGTGGACACTCGAGTCATTATCGAACGCAGAATAGTCCAGGAATGCAGAGTATGCGTTGAAGTCTCCGCGGGATTGGGAGAAGTCCATTTCATTGTCCTGGATGACTTGGAAGTCAGATCCGGGCTGGTACAAAACTTCGCTTGGACCGACAGTAGAAGGAACAAGTTGTTGCGAAAAGTTAAAAGAGAGCATCTGAACTTCAGGGGATTCCGTCTTGGAGACGGCAGCAGCCTCAACTTCTGCATCACTCAGAGACCAGGGGTTTCCATGGGCATGAGTGCTTGAGCAAAGAGAGTAGTTGTCCTGGCTGGAGAGATCATCATCCTCAACTTTGAGGGAGGCCAAATTTGTGAATCCAATGGGAGCATGTCTGGGCTGAGAGAACTGGTCCATATTCCGAAGGGCAGTTTGGGAGAGTGCTAATCTCCTAGAGTCGGTCTGAATGTGAGACATTGTGAAAGGTCCAGGTAACTGGAAGAATCGAAGAAAACAAACACTATTGACGGAAAGCAAGTCAGTAAATTCACGTTATTTTGCATGGCAAACAAGGAATAGCAAGAAAAGCAGCAATTGCAAGGTCCGATCCAAAGCGTGCATCGAAGGTCTGCATTCTGTTAGTCAATTGACGGGCGGCTTCAAATGTTCTCGAGAGTACGAACCGAGACTTGTCCATTGAAAATATACGATCCAAGACAGCTGGTAAAAGGCGATACTATCGCTAGTTCCATTATCCAGTTCATTACACAGGCGTCAAGTGGCTTAGTCCGAGGTCCATTGTCGTCCGAGAGGGAAAAAGTGACACGAGGTGCACTACAAAGAAGCGCAGAGCTACATGTCGTCTAGCAACATTATGCTATCTCGTTCCGAATATCCATGGTCTGAAGTCCAAACGAAGAGACTACAGTCAGTCATTGAAGTTGTCCAGGGTGCATCGAAAGGTCCATAAATCCAGAAACAGGTAAGCCAAACGCCGTATAGTCGAAGAGCAAGCACAAGGATAATCCAGGGGCGAAAACGGTCCAAAGCAAACGCAGAAAAGGTCGAAAAGCGGTTAGTCCAATATAGGTCCAGGTCAGGGTCCAAAGGCAATATCCATGGGAGTTCTGGGGTCGTATAAAGCAAGGTCCAAAAAAGAGAAGTGAAGAATCCAAATCATAAACGAAGACAACATTAAATCTTCTAGTGTTCCAAGTTGGTTCGGTTCGATGTCCATGGCCAGAGAAAAACAAAAACGGTCCTTGGGAATCCATGTGGAGAGTGCAGCATAAAACACTCTATACGATGCATCATTAAACATCATAATTGGTAACTGTCAAAACTGACAGGGCAGAATCCGGAAAGTAAAACAGAAACAAAGTCCATAGGGTCCAGTGGAAAGCTGTCGACGGTAACAGACGCAAAACGTCCGGGATTGCAATGCGTAAGGGGAAAACAAAGCAAAACGAAAGTAGCAACGACAAAAGAAATGAAATGAAGGGGACTACCTGTTGTTTTCTGGATTGAAGTGGTGCAAGTGCAAGAGCAAGTGCAGAAAGAAGACGGAAACGAGGCACGAAAGAAAAGCAACAAAAGCAGATCCTCTCCGGGCAAAACGGACTGTATCCAATGGAAGGCTGTAACCGGGATGCTTTCTTTTTGTTTTTTCTTTCCAAGATTCCGGCTGGAACTTGCAATAAAGCAGACAGAAATGAAGAAACGAAGCAAAAGACACTGGAAGTCTTGCAAATGGTAGATTGTATATAGTCACTGACTGTAAGAGTACAGCTAGATAACAAGATGGTCCTGGAGGGGTATCAAGGGGGATAGGGGGTCAATGACAATCCTCCGATGGCGAGATGTAATCGAGATAAGATGAGATGACGAGTTTGAGAGAAAAGAAGAGAAAGAGAAGCAACGGAGAAGACGGAGGGATGAGCGGTTTTTAAGGGCATCACCTGAATCAGATTCCATCCCGAAGAAGCAAAAGCCGGAGGGGCTTCACAGCCGCGGTGGAGTGCAAAGAGTCGTGTGCTATTGGCGCTCTGCATAACACCGGGAACGAACAGGATTGACGTGGCTGTCTCTGAGTGTCTCTGACTCTCTCCGGGACTGTGATGGGATGCACCCTCTCGCATCGAGTCAAGCGGTGTGGCAGCCTCTCCACCAGTCAATTCGCGTCTCCACCGTCAGCCCTGCTATTGATGATCCGGTCTCCGATTGATTGGTTTAGATCGAGTCCTCTCAATCCCCCTGATCGAGATAACAGCCAATTAATTGACTCGCTGACGCCATTACGCTCGGCCCCGCTTTCGCTCGCGACAATCGGACGCAGTGTTTGCATCCGGACGTCCGTCAAGAGTGTCTGTCAGATGCGATTCTATGGCTACGAGCGACACCACGTCGGCTACTCCGTATGGCGCTGCTTTGCTTACAGCGTCCCAGTGGTCGGGATCGAGGTGATATGCGCGACCTACAGCCTACATCACACTGCGCGGAGAGGTGTCATTTGTGACTCTGCACGTCAACGGAGTTTCAGCCGTGCGTGCTTCGTACAGACGATAGGAGACAGCAATGGCCACTCGAATAGGGGGTTCCTCAGGACACTACGGGAATCTTTCGGGAGAAACACGAGTCGTGACTGGTCAGACCGCACGGACATGTCGCAAGTCAGCGTTGGGCAGCAATGCATACGGAAAAAAATGTTAGATCTATTGACGATGCATGTCAGTAATCCGGCAATAAACATATTCGGAAGCAAAACAGGCTGCAGCAAATATGACAAGAGAAGCCAGTGCATCAGACAAGGTGAAAGATGGTATATGTTTTCGTTCAGCAATCCGAAGATTTCAGTTGAACTATGCATTTGATATATGGTAATCATCATAACGAGGGATCAACCCCGTGCACTTTTAGGCGGCAATTGAAACAGGGGGAGATAAATAAAGATAAAAATAAAATATTGCTCACCTATTGAGGGATGATAATCGTCATCCCAATGATACCAACGCACCAAGCATGTCGAGCAAAAAAATTGGCAATAACTGAGCTGTCATTCAACCTGCATTGCATCGCATCGGTCAATTGATGAATTGGAATCTCTCATTCAGAATACCAAAGCGGCGAGCCATTGACCAATGTCGTGGTGACATGAAGTTGTTGGGAAGAAAAGATGCAGCAGATTTTTGTAGTGCGTCCCGCTTTTGCAAGCGAGAGCCGCACGTGACATTAGTTTGCTCCGTTTGCATTTGCTCGTTAAAGGGTTAATCTCGGGCCGAGCCGGATCCATTCAGTCGAAAACTACGGCTATTCCAGAGGCTTCGAATGACGTATGGCTCAAAATTAATGTCTCAAACGTAGCCTAGCTATGATGAAGATTGATGTGGGTGCTGTCTGTACGTCATCGGATCTTGTTCATTGTGCCCATCGCAGCGACATGTCGATGAGGAACGCAGCGATTGAGTCGTAAACAAACCCCCTTAGACTGATGGCAAAATTTAGAACATACGGGGTAGTACACGTTCTCATTCTGGCCGCTCATTTTAAAAATGCTTGCTTTATCCAGCACAAGAGGACGAGGCCGGAATTGTATCTTTTCTTGACAATGCCCAGTCAAAGGATAGCAGCATAGACCCGGAATGAATCGTATGGGCCCGGAAATAACTTTGTAGCCACCGGCCCTCTGTACTTCTTGCCCGATGGAAATCATCATTTGCTTTAATCGTCAGATAGCCCTTATTAGACACGCTGTCGAAGCTCACTCTGGAGTCAAATGTTGTATTCGCAGGGTGAAGTATATGGTAGTTGTTTCGTGCAAATATATATTTGAGACCAAAGCCAAATATCACTTCCCCAATAAATTTCCGGGAAAAGATCTCGGCGGAATGGCTGTCAATCTGAGATATATAGAGGTGCAGCATGCTGTATAGTGAGCGTGGTATGCCCGTGTAAGGACAATAAGGAAGATGCATATATGCTTACAGCCAAGTAAAGTCCATCTGCCCTCGATATCTAGCCGATACTAGCCTAGTAGTCAAGTTCGCTTCTCTGATCAAGACGAATAATATTTACCGAATGATGAGAAAGCCCAGCAAGATTTTCCCATGCATGGAGGGAGACAAGAAGGTACATAGACCAAACTGCTTCTCTGTCGGTGTTGTGAGCTAACAGCCAAAAAAAACAAGTCATGATAACGAAGATGCTTTGCCAGCTCCAACGGACAGTTCCAAAGTTGACGGCGCGCAGGAGCCAAACGCCGTATCCCAAGAGTTGAAAGACGCCGCTGCGAATTCAACACATGGTCAATCTACATCGCTTGTCTCGGCTATGGTATCTCCAGAATCTTCAAATACGGAGATATAAGGAGCAGGCAAGCCTGGAAACTTAAAGACTTCGAAGGAGCCCGCGCTGGATGCTGTGGCTGAGAAGTTGAAAAGCAGCTTGATAAGGAATGGTATTGGGATGAAGCCTACGATCGGCTTTATAAAGACGATGCAAAGATTGAGGTGTTGAAGTGGGGGCAAACAAAACTACGCAAGAAATTGATTATTGTTACAAGATGCCGGAAAGCTATTTTGTATTTGCTCATAATATCATGTTCGTGCCTCGGCTGAAGGCACATTCCTGCCATAGTTCTCCGGTCGAAGAGATTCATATCTCGATATGGTAAGAAAAGCACGTGCTTCACCGTCCTGCCAGGACACCCGTCGAGCCAAACAAAGTAATAGTATAGACAGCGACACTTTATATTTGGAAGTTGGGAAATAAGGACAGTTGCAAAGCCAAATGAATTTCCTTGGAGAGCTTTGACCCAGTCTCTGCGTCCTCAAATAGGGCATACTGAATCATATGAAGTGTTTTTCCCTCACCGCATCACCAAAGGAAGTTGACTCTCTATCCCAGTGTACATTCCTCATTGGGTGCATCCATGCTACCGTTGATAATGAGATAAAACTGATATGGCGAACTAAAGACGCCAGATCTGGTAGAGCGAGAATTTCGAAGTAGTTGAAGTAGTTTGCGCAGAGGGAGGCATGTACCCCAGTTCCAATTTATCTCGTCGTAGATGAGCTGCTGAAAAAAGGTACAGAAAGACTCGGAAGTCGCTGATGTTAAGAAGAGATCTCCGAATATGAGGCATCTGTTAATTTCTATCCAACAGTTATATTAGATATAACGGGTTCATATCTAGGTCCAGGGAGTGGACTATTCCGTTTTAGGATGCCATGAGCTGAGGCTCTTCTCACTCTTCACTCGCCAACCGTTGGAACCACTCTATACCCCTGAATGCTATCTCTATCTATTTTGACCTTTTATAATTGACAATAATACCCAGTTTTATTCTAGGCCATAGTGTACGCCTATTGTGGCCTTGAATCTGCGATGAACTGGACTGGAGGCCGTCTACAGCGACGCTCAAAAGATCCCAACGAACTCCAGAAACAAAGATTTGCAAAGCGCAGGCCAAGGAGAACTGGTGACGCCCAAATACCCGGAATCTTCCAGAGACTGTCGCAATTACATAGCCCCAGGTCGCAACAGCGTATACTTAGCGGGAGCTACGAGCGACGAGACCAAGTAAGTTGCCGGGAGAAGTAGGGGCTATACGTTTGGATCTGTGTTTATGCTGATGTATCACCAGTCCAGCAAAAACTTACAGGGGCGGTCCAATACTCCATACTCCAGCATACACGAGCGACTAGGCCGCAATTGGTACCATCCGTCTAGTCAAGATGTCATTTACGCCTACGGAGGAACTGGAGAGATTTGGAAAAAGGCGGAAACTGATAGAGGCGGGTCACAACAGGCTAGTTTCTTCTGGTGACAGCATTAGCCAGCCGAGGCTTCGTGAGGAAGCGCGAGAGCGCGCCATCCGAGCTTGGAACGATGGGAAACATGGATATCCAAATATATCGGCCGCCAGTTGATCCGGCATCTTCGAGTACTAGTCACAAAAAAGCGAGTAACGAATCGTCCCAGCCAATGCTTTTGGACAGGGAGGATTCCAACCTTGTAGATCGGAGTTTATCACCAGACGGAGGGACATACAGTCCAAGAAGGGGAAGAACCATTTCCAGCCAATTACTTCTATCGTCTCAGAACCTTCCCAGGCAGTCACAATCTCTTGCACCATCAGACACCATTTTTCCTATCGAATCTGTATCTCAAGAAAAATACCAGCAGCACATTCATCAATTCAGTCCTTATCCATATCTACAACCATCTATGTCGCCCATGAGGCTCCATAGCAGCACTCCCAGCCTCCACCAGCCAATCCCACAACTCCCAAGACGTTTTACTATTGACGACCAAATCGCTGCTGAACTGGAAGATATATATGCGCACTTACGTCATAGCGACACAGCCGGTAGCTATGCGACAAGCAAGTGTTCGTCCGAGAAGATGCGCAATGGACATAGTTTTGGGTGCACAGCGTCCGGTACACGATCTACTTCGAGCAACCGGTTCTCTAGCTGGCTTCCGGAACCAAAGCATCATGTTCAACGGTTCATGGGTCAGAACTATCATCAGACCAACACATCATCTGCGGTTACAATGTCGGAGACAGTCGACCGTGAGCAGCCGGTATACAATAACAATCCTCATTTCAACCCACCCCAAAGCTATATAACTCTCAGTCTACAGCATACTCAAATACAGGAAGATACAAATCAGAGAAGACATATATTAAATGGATTCAGTGGTATAGCAGTGAGCCAGCCATTTAGTGATCGACTGAGAAGAGGTTTTGAAATATACCAAGATACATCATTTACGCCATCTCGCCAGAGAATCTCGAGACAGCTTGCTCGGAATAATATGAGACTTCTGAATGATATTGCCGAAAAGCCCTTCAAATTCTACGGGCGCCTTGGGTATGAGCTACCTTGACATTGTTAGCTGTTGACCGGAAATGCGGTTACGCCAATATAAGCCTCGAATTTCCTGGTCAGATGCAAGCGCGATATATGATCTGTGAGATAATGGGAGTACCAACTTACCTCTAGACTGCTCTGGCGTCAATAAACTTATAGATAATGTGCTTTTTCGTTTCGCATAAGATTGCCTGAATTCCCTTATCATCCTAATTGCTGTACGTAAATAGCGGCGAGAGCCCCTGGTTCGTAAAAAGCGGCCGCTTTGCCGGCGAGTTGGTGACATGTTTGAGGGGTTTCCATCGGAGTGCTTCGCGCAACCGGTAAGGTAGCCGACATAGTGCTTCCGAATGAATTACGAAAACTCAGAGATTGGGAATCCATGAGAGCCGAGTCTGTTCAGTCTACTATTGCTCGGCTTCGGATACCGAAACCGAAATCCATCCCCTACATACCATGTATTTGAAATACACATCTTCCTCTTCTATATCGAGATTCTCTTTCGATAACTCTTCAAGAGATACAGTGTCAATATGTTTGAAAATGTACAGCAGGGTCCGGTGGACCCCATGTTCGTCTTGAAGCGAGACGCCGATAACGATGTATCTCCGGGCAAGGTGGATCTTGGTGTTGGAATCTATCGCAACACAGAGGGGAAATACCATGAGATGGGTGTCCTGCGAGAGGTGAGAATGAGTATGTCCGAATACAGGAGCGTTGTACTGATGTAGCCAACTCGCTAATCAGGCCAAAAGGATTCTGGAGCAAAACAATCCTGGACATGATGTATAGTACCATTGACTCTCAACAGCTTGGGCCCCGACACTAATAAGATATGTCGTAGTATGAATCCACCACAGGGAATCCAGCGTTTCTGAAAGATGCAGCAGCTGCCATGTTTGGCGAGGAATGCGAAGCACTGAATGACGGACGCGTTAGTTCTTAGGGCTCCGCCTACATCGCATTCTCGCTAACTCATTCCTGTCAGGTCACATCCGTCCAAACAATCTCAGGCACAGGAGCAAACCACCTGGCCGCTCTATTCCTCGCGCGATGCGCCGGTTCCAAGCAGAACACGGTGTATGTGGGAACACCGACGTGGGGAAATTATGAACCCCTCTGCTCTCTGGTGGGCTTGCAAGTAGTCAAGTACCGATACTACAATCCCGAAACTGCCACGGTCGACTTCACCACCCTGCTCAACACCGTCTCCAGCGCCCCCCCAAACAGCATCTTCATCCTCCAAGGATGCTGCCACAATCCCACCGGAGCAGACCTAACTCCGTCACAGTGGGATACGCTCGCAGGGGCAATGAAGCAAGCCAACGTCTTCCCATTCCTGGATATCGCGTATCAGGGTCTGGGCGGATCAATGAATGAAGATGCCTACCCGATCAGGCTATTCACGGAGCTGGGGTTTGAAATGGCTGTTTGTCAGTCATTTTCCAAGAATTTGGGATTGTATGGTGAGCGATGCGGGGTGCTTCATGTCGTCAATTCGGACGCAGCGATTGCTTCTCGTGTTTATGATCAGCTTCGCTGTTTAATTCGGTGGGAGTTTTCTTCGTCGCCGGCTTATGGGTCGCGCTTGGCGAGTATTGCCATGGGCTCGGATTTGAAAGGGCAATGGTAAGTAAATACCCTGCTCAGCTTGGAGCAGTATGCCGTATAGAAATTCTAACCAATCCACAGGTCTGACGAGCTAGAATCCATGCGATCCCGGCTACTCGACAATCGAAAAAATCTTCACCAGGCTTTGCAGAATGTACTTTCCCACCTTCCCTCTATTTCTACTCAAGACTAACACAAACAGACCCCCGGAAATTGGAATGTAATCCTGACAACAAAAGGTCTTTTTGCGTATGTGCACCGTTATATCTCTCTCGCTTTTTTTTTATTTTTTTATGACAATTAACCCTCCAAAGCTGTTTACCTCTGAGCCCGCTCCAGTGCCAGAAGCTGCGCACAGTACACCACATATATCTGCCGGACAATGGCCGTATCAATATTTCTGGACTGAACTCGACTAATGTCGACCGGGTGGCCTCTGCGATTGATTCTGTGGTGCAGGATCCGGAGTAACATGATACATGAGACTGTCTATTCATATATGCAATTGTTAACTTGAAAAACCGATGAATGAACATCTCAATTAGGACTCTTCTCATTTTTCAATAGATAGACGCCATTGATGCCACTGCTTGAGGTGTCTTTGCATGCCCTATTAGCCAATCGCCGCTCGCACAACCACAGTATCACAACCACTGTATAGGTAATTCAGTAAAGTAAACAACGTCAAACATATATGCACCACCGGTGACAGGAAAATAAACAGAAAGCAAGCAGCTGGGTGTCGAATCCGGGCCTGTTTTATGAAATGATATGCAGAAGAGGTATTGTTTAGTTATAAGCAGCATAACCTCGGATTATGCCGATGACACTTGCCCCGCTAGTCACCCGCCAGCCATTTCAGTCTTATCTCTTACCCACTACCGAACTAACCATTCATCATCATCTTTTTTTTTTTTTTTTTTTTTTTTTTTTTTTTTTTTTTTTTTTTTTTTTTTTTTTTTTTTTTTTTTTTTTTTTTTTTTTTTGAATACCTTAAGCACTGAATATAAGCCCATACGACAGACAATGGGACTCACTCTCCGCTATGCTACCGAGGCCGACGCCCTCATGCTGGGTCACATCAACATCACCTGCTTCAACCGGCAGGAGCTCTGGGGCAACGCATACCCGGGTCTCGATGATGAGACTGTCCTGCCTGCCAAAGCAGCGCGCGCCTTACAAAAGCTGGCCGACCCGGCAATGCATGTCGTCGTGGCAGTGGAAACCGACGCCCCCGGCCAACCGATCATAGGCTACTCGCGCTGGACCATCCCAGGGTTGCCAAGCCCGGTGGAGCTGAGTCCGGCTGGCCAGGACTTTGCGGGCGCGGCAAATTTGCCCGAGGGGACCAACCGGAGGGTGTTGGAGGCATTCCAGGCGAAGTTGAAGGAATGCCGGGAGGAGCACTTGTTGGAGGGCGACCTCGGTGCGTATTTCCTGAAGATTGGTTCATTTTGAGTATATGGATTTTAATAAAATAGTTCTCGACTTCCTGGCTACCCTTCCCCAATACCAAGGGCGCGGGGTGGCATCGGCGCTGCTGCGGTGGGGGATAGAACAGGCAGCAGAGCGGCGGGTAGGCATTTTCCTAGAGGCAACAATGGACGGGTATGCACTCTACCGCAAGTATGGATGGGAAGATGTGTATGAAGTGATCATGGAATATGAGCCATTGGGGGGGAGAGGGAGTCAGAGATTCATGCTGATGCGAAGGGCGCCTTAATTATGCACCATACACATCCATTCGTTTATCTGTTGAGATGATGAGGTGATTAGTTGATTCTTGTAAATAATCGCATGATGCCAGGCAATTTTAGGAACAACGTTGTACTTAACGCGCTAGTTGAATTGTTTCCAGAGGACTACTTTATCTAGTCATATAGCCATAGGTCCTAGAGCAGATCCTTTGCCATCTTTCTACCTTCTGGTCGCCACTGAAACATCCCTCTTATGATAGTTAAAGAATATTTTTTATTTGTTCCCTCGAGAAACCATTCCGATGTTTCCTTGCTTGTTGCGGATACTTCAATGTCATATTTTCGCCGTCATGTAAAGCAGTTTACCAGCCTTTTTCATATGGTAAGTGTTTCAGGCAAAGAGATAAAATATGTATCATCTTTAGTGAAGAATCCATGGCCCCTCTTTTCCCGCTTGAGCATATATAAAAGAGGTGGAATATCCTTTTCCTTCAAGATCATTGTCCTAGAATATTTCAACTAGGTAGCTCCGTTCGGCTGAACTTCTCGCCAGTATTTCGAGTGCGAGTATGAACACTTCTATTCAAACTATGACATGAAGGATCGAAAAAAAAAAAAAAAAAGGTCGGCAATAACCTCCGCTGGGTTCAACGGACGGGCTGCCTCATGTCTGTCGAGCAGTTGTGTCTGTAACATGTGTGCAGGATCTCTTCGCGCATCTGCCGTCGTCAGAAACGATGAATTTGCGGGAGAAGAGTGGAATGAGGGAGGTCTGTAGGCTTCTTATTGCTCTTCATTGGCGTTCTGTGGAGATCAGTGGGATTATTGATAGGATGGAAGCTAGGGCATTTACGGGAATTTGGTAGGGTACGGTAATAATTGGAAGTGAAAGATGTAATTGGAAGAAAATGCGCTTACGAGAGCAAAAAGTATCCAGCTAGCTCTTTTAATCGAGGATGAATTGTTGTAGTCAACTCACACTGCATGTACCAGAGTATGCGTTGTAGTTGCACCTACTGCCTGAGGTGTCTCAGATCGCCGATTGCGGTCCACCGAGGTCCACGTCTTCCCCAGACCGCAACCTTCATCTTATCACCTCTCCTCCCATCACCATTCATCTCACTTTCCAACACTAAACCATCAACCTACGAGTACACCAGCACCAGCAACCATGTACTCCCTCTCCCTTCTCCTCCTTCCCCTTCTAACAGCCTCAACGGCTCTCCCACACCCACCTCCCCAAACCAACTCCCCCGACCTCACCCCCCTCCCCCTCATAATCTGGCACGGCCTAGGTGACAGCTACCAAAGCACCGGCCTGTCCGAAATCGCCTCCCTCGCCGCCTCTACAAACCCCGATACTTACATTCACATAATTCATCTCTCGGACTCCAGCACAGGCGACCGCCAAGCCTCTTTCCTCGGCAACGTGACCGAGCAAGTCGATGCCGTCTGCGAACAACTAGCCTCTGAGCCAATCGTTGGTACTGCGCCGGCGATTAACGCGTTGGGATTCTCGCAGGGAGGGCAGTTTCTGCGCGCGTATGTGGAGCGGTGTAATAATCCGCCTGTGCGGAATTTGGTCACCGTGGGGAGCCAGCATAATGGGATCTCGGAGTTCCAGGAGTGTATGTCGATGGATTTGATATGTAAGGGTGCAGAGGCGCTGTTGCATGCTGGTGTGTGGTCAGATTTCGTGCAGGGGCGGTTCGTGCCTGCGCAGTACTTCCGGGATCCGAAGGATGAGGAGTCTCTATCTGAATATCTGGAGAGCAGCAATTTCCTCGCTGATATTAACAACGAGCGCGAAGATTCGCGGAATGAGACGTATAAGGATAATATGAAGAGGTTGAATAAATTCGCGATGATCATGTTTGAGGATGATAGCATTGCGCATCCGAAGGAGAGTGCGTGGTTTGCGGAGGTGAATGAGACGACTGGGGAGGTGACACCGTTGAAGGAGAGGGATATTTATAAGGAAGATTGGCTTGGATTGAAAGAGTTGGATAAGCAGGGGAAGTTGCAGTTTTTGGCGCTGCCGGGGGATCATTTGCAAATGGATGATGAGCAATTGGTGACGCTGTTTAAGGACTACTTTGGGCCTGTGGAGGTGGATCTGCCTGATATGTTGCCTGCGAAGGGTGCTGAGAAGGTGCTTGTTCAGCAGTACTAATTTGTTCCATTTGTTGACCTGGATCAAGATTGATTGATTGCTCTAGCTTTGATTTACGTATAGCATAGCTTAATACCCACGACACACGATAATCAGATAAATCCATATTATTTACACTCAGCTGAGCTTGCATTTACCTAAATACATTTAACTATCAAACACAGCACTCGCCATGAACAGTATCCTATCCCGCTGTTCAGCATAACCTTGACCTAAACGTAGAAAACAAGGGTACTAGTCAAGCCACATCTATCAAAATGAAGACAAGAAGAAAAGGAGACATAATAGAGACGGACAAGTTAAACAGTATAAAATAGCCAACCAACGAACAAAAGAACAAAAGAAACAGATCAAGCCAAACAAAAAGGTCATGAAGATGACCGGTACGAATTATAAGTGCTTTTGCGAGAAGTTAGAAAAAGGAAACCATGCTAATGGGAATACAACAAATGCAAGTCAAACTAAAACGGAGCTCGAAGAAATGTGAAAACGCAAAACGAAAGAATCAATAAGGCGGCCGCCTAATACCGCCATTGGCGGCAGGCCGCCTCGAAGAAATACCACCAGTTCTTCTCGCCCCCTTGGGCCGCTCCGCATCATGCTTGGACAGAAAGTCGTTCAACTGGCGTTGGCTATCGCCATGTTCATATTCCGTGTAGCCGCCTTCAATATTGGCGACGCTTGAAAGTCCTGTGCTCGAACGACTCTTGCTCCGGTTCAAAGTGCCAGCGTTGCTCGGACGGTAAGCATGGTATGTGCCAGCGCTGCCGTTGACAGAGGCTTGTTTTCGCGGGGCCGGTGCGGTGACCGGTCGTTCACCAAGCGGCGTTGAAGCCTGGGAAGAATCACTCGGGAATCCACCCGGAAGCGACGGCATGGAAGGAATGGAGAGCGACGGTGGGATGGGGGGAACAGGAGGGATGCCGCCGGCTTTCGACTGTCCATCGGTTAGAACAAAGGCCGATGCCCGGGGGGTTTCCACTCCGTCTCCTGGCGGCGTCGATTCTCCTTCGAAGACAGACTGTGGTCTGCTCGAAGCTCCGTCGCCGTCGAATTCGGATGCGGAATAGCCACTGACCATGCTTTCACTACTCGAGGATATGATACTGTCATTAGAAGCATCCAATCGTCCTCGTAACGGACTGAGACGTCGTGCGTTAGCGTCCTGGTTGGTGGAAAGCACGCGTCTTAGCTCGTTGACTCGAACCGCAGATCCACGGCTAGAACTGTCCATTGGTGTTCCCGCAAATTCAGGAACACTCGGGCGTCTTCGATCGGGTAAGCCCGCTGCGCCTCCAGCAATAGAACCCGATCCATCAAGAGCTGAAACTGGTGAAGCTGTAGAGAACGAGCTGTCTCTGAATCCATTGCCATGGAAATGGTTACGCGTGATAAAGGTTCCCGCTTTCGAGCCACTGATGGACGAAGTGCGTGCTTTATCCTTCTGAACAGCCGCCAGACAGGTTTCCTTAGACCAACCCGCCAACATGTCGTCCTTGACAGACAATGGAAGATGGTCCTTGTCAGGAATGACAGAGGCCGTTCCGTTCACTCCACCGCGCTCCGGGGAGCTAGGAGGGCTCTGGACAGGCGTCGGAATCGATCCGTTATACGTCTCTTCGATCCGGTCAACAAGTTCCTGAACATCATCCCCAAATGGGTTCAACAGTTCAGGACTCTCCAGACCACTTGGACTGGTTTCCTTGCCAGCGATAGGCGCAATAGTGTCAAGGTCAGCAGGTGGCAGGCGGACACTGTCAAGCCAAACACCAAAGTTTCTCCGCTTGTCAATTTCGCTGTTAATCACACCACCGACTCTGTAGACATCCAAGTCAAACTTCTCAGTCAACTCCCAGAAATATCCGAAAACCAAGCTTCCGATGTTCACCTTAGATGCAGCAGAGTGCAGACTAGCCGCACTCACGTCGCTCTGCAGCTTTAGAATCATAGGCAGTCCATATCGAACGGCGTTCACGCCAAGACGGTCGATCAAGTTAGTGAGGAGCAGGTGGAGGAGAAGGGTTTCCGATTCTTCCGATGAACGTTCGAGCGCATTTTCGTAAATAGTCAAATGCAGTAGGCGGAGGAAGTTCGACTGTGCGACTTGAACAGCTTTTGCTCTGTGATTTCCTGAGTTCGATCCCCGCTTGCCAGAGCGCTCAGCAATCTCAGGCAATTGCTTGGCCATAGGATTCGCTGGCTTGCCGATTGGCTCGATGACTCTGAGGTCGGTTTCGTTGGTTTCCAGTCTTAACCAGCACAGGAGTGCATCGGCATAGGTGTAGTAGACTTCCCGCTGGTCACGTAGGAGCCATTGCGTATCTTCCCACACATGGATGCCAACACGGTTGCGGGATTCGACACCAGCCGAAGCAGCTGGTTTCTTTCCGCTGGCTACGACAAGAATGTTCTTGATGGCTTTGAGCGCAGCCACCTTGGCTGTGGGTGAGGAGAATGCCACTACATTCTCACCAGGAGGGGTTGCCGGCTTGGCCGAGGGATCGAGTGTATCTGCTGTTGGAGCTTTCATAGAGTGTTCGTGATTGGCGCCTGGCTTCAGAAGGCTTAAGACCGTTCTTACCATGTCCGTAATCTGCTCGCCGTAGTAAATGTGGGTAGCGAGGTGTCCTACGGACTCCACAAGGAGGTCAAGCAGCTCTCTTCTCCGTTCCGTCAGTGGTAGCTCGTTGGCGTGCTTCTCTGTCGACTCGCCATTTGCCTCGTTCTCAGATGGTGACAGCACGGTGGAAAGATATCGCATGAGACCGAGCAAGACATCCATAACACTAAGGCCAATCATGTTCACCGACGACTTAAACAGCCAATCGACCATGTACACCATGGTAGTTGATCGGGCTAAGTTTTCTTCGGTAGGGTTCGTTTCGAGCAAGACTTCCATAGCAGCGTTCAGAATGATGAAGCGAACCTGCACAGGACACCACTTGGCAACAAGCTCCATCAACGATGTGGCCCATGTATCGCCTGTGGCCTTCTCTTGAGACGAGTTGGAGATCGAAGCCTTGCCAAGGATAAACCGCAAGATAGTGACAGTCGTAACGCGAATCTGACCACGGCTACTTCCCGAGACGATAATCTGTTCCAAGCACCGCAAGGCAAGCAGCCTGACATCCATCTCCGCCTTCCGATCAGCATCAGCGGTAGTCTGAGAAGCCAATGCGGGATCGCCTTCAGCCGCATCCACCGTCTGCACGGTTGCAACACTGACTCTGCGACGTGGGGCAAGCTCCGGCTGGGTCTTTTCCGACTCCTGCGATTTTAGCTGGAGCAGGACCAGCACATCCTCCTCGCCAGTATACAGATTCTCCAGAATCACGGGCAGAATCAGCTTCAACGAGTCCCCTCCATCAGCAGCCAGTGTCTCGTCGGAGCCAACCACTCCTCTTATCGCTCGCAGCCCGGCGTTTCTCCATCGGATCGTCATCGGGGAATTAGAAGCGGTCTTCTGGAACAACGAAGCGGTATCCGTGTAGCTAGCGTATGTCCGCACGACTCCTTGATACTGAGTCGACAATTCCTGCTCAGCCGCAAGCGACGCCATATCCTGGTGTTGACAGAATGTCTCAAAGGTCGCAATCGAATCTTCCACCATCGAAATATCCTGGGATCGAAGAACGATATCGATAACGGAGAGGACATATCGCGCGTAGATCGGCAAGTCGCGGGGAACCTTTTCCATAAGTGCAGTGAGGATCTGGAGGGTAACTTGCACATTCCTAAAGCGAAAAAGTAAAACAGTCAGCAAATACACAGGAACAATCTTTCCACCACCAGACTGTAATCTCACCCAAGCTTGCGTCGCCAGACATCGCGAGCTGCCCGTTTCTCCAAGAAGGAGCAGACCTTAGTCAACTTGCTGCGGCGGGTGCTGACATAGTAGAGTAGGTAGGAGAGTTCGCTAGCATTCGGTTTAACCTCCTGGACTCCTTTCTGGTACTGGGGGAAGCATTTCAGGATCAAGACCTGGTGCTTCGGTCGGCATGATTGGCGCATGCTCTCCATTTTGCACGGCGGTCCTATTCAAAACGTCTGGAAGCTCTAGGATGATGTATGTTCGCAACGAGATTGGGGAAGGAGTGACACGTCGGGGCGTAAACTGGCAAGGGAGGTGACCGTGAAAGCAAATCCGGTACTGGGTTAGACCATAGAGGTTGTAGGGTAGATTCCAAGGAGGGACCGGTTACTGCTATCCGTGGTAGATGGATACAGGATAATCCGGGTTGTTGTAGGGAGGGAAAAAGAGAGACCGGAAGGCATCCAAACAACCAGGGGCGGGGCGTTTCACTATCTGTTCTCCAAGGCAGATAACTAAGCCTGCGGATGACTGTACAGCAATACCAACACTACTGACGATAGACAGAGGCCGGTGCGTCCCAGTCGCAGTGGGAGAAGTAAGGGAGTGGTGGCAGTAGTGATGGTTGGAGATGGATGAAGAGTGGAATCGAGATCCGTTGATTAGGAGAGGGCCGGAGTTAAGCAAGTAGCGGCTGGGCCCAATCCCCGATTTAGCAACGAATGCGATTAGTCTAGTTTAGGGGTAATTCTGCTGACCCTATTTTGGGCTCGGTGGGTGTATATAAAGAAGAGCAGGGGAAAAAGGCCATTGGTTTTCCTCCTTTTCCCTTGTATTTGGTTCAGGAACCAGGGACAGTAAACGCCTACATTGGACTACGCGGAAGCATAGGCCCCCTTCGCCATCACTACCACTCGTATTCTTATTCTTATTCCTCTTGACTTTATTATTCTTAATTAATCCAACGTGCAGCGGAGACTGAATTCATCCGCTTATGTCAGTGCTTTACCGGCGATCAGACGCCCTGGTATTATGCCCATCCACTGGCACATAACCATAACCTCATAACCTGAAAGTAATATGAACATGTACTCCGGATCGGCCGGTGGTGTCGTTTCCGCAGGTGTTGAACTAGCATACGTTGTGTTTCCCCGGACTCAACGTCTGTCGTTGGTTGTTCGCAAATAGCCGACAGTTGGGACCAACCTCGGTGACACATGAACAAAGTCCGTCTGCACCACAATTTTTGCCGTAGAATAAACATCGTGTGCCCGGAAGCAAAATTCAGATAGACACCGGTAGCAGCAAGAAACCCGGAGCATCCCGATAGACCTCACGTAGACCACGAAAAGCCATGACGATCGATTTGCATCCCTCCCACAGTATTATTTTCAATCCATCAAGTCTTCACACCCCATCTTGTTTCTCCGCACCTTCCTGTCCCTGCTCTCCACCCCCCTCCTGCGCGCCCTCCTGCTGTTGCTGTTCACCCACAAGCCCAAGCCCAGCCAACCCCTCAATAACCTGCGGCCTTATAACATCCCTCCTGAACGTGTCTTCCTGCAACAATCGCAGCGCCCGCAGCGTCGGACCCGGGTGCGTCAGAAACTGCGCGTACTCTGGCGTCTTCCAGTACGAGTAGAGGTATGCGAGATACGCGGCGAAAGCCTGTGCGTCGGGGTCGGCGGAGGTATCGGTGTCCTCATTTGCGGTGTCGTCGCTGGATCGAGAGATACCTAGGAGATTCGGGTAGGTGACGGCTAGGTGGGAAAGATAGTAGGGATTTGCGAGGGAGGAGACGAATTCGAGCTCGAGGGTGAAACGCGGGTTGGTGAGTGTTGGCGGGGGTTGTTGTTGCGGCTGTTCGGGAGGTTGAGGCTCCATGCTGGTTGTTGTTGATATAGATATCACTTGTTTTGTAGATGTAGAGATACAGAGATACTCGAGGTCGGGTGGTGCGAGAGAGGTGTGTAGTAGTTACTCCGTACTCCGACAGCTGCGGGAGAGGAAAGGTCGGCGTACAATCGATGCTCCGCAGAACCAACTAAACAATAGAAGAGAAAAAGCAAAAATAAAAAATAAAAAATAAAATGAAATGAAATGAAATGGAATGGAAAGAAAGAAATTTGAAGCAAGTCAGTTTTCTAATTCCGACTCAAACCCCAATTTTATGAAGCTTAAGAGGAGAATCCCGGTGGCAAGAGATTGGCCAATGAAAGTAATGGTAACTATACTACTCTGTACAAAATGCAGGTGAACACCCTCCGAGCTGGAGGAGAGCTAGTCGTCGCTACTAGAAGTGGAAAGAGAAGACGAAAGAGGAGAATGAAGACAAGACGCCAAGATCACTATAGCAATGAGTGTGTTTTTTTTTTTTTTTTTTCACCACCCATACCAAATATTCATGGGTGTGAATATCCTGGGTTGAGTTGGAATCAAATATACTCCGGGGTAGTACTCAATATTATCATTCTGTACCGGCTAGACATCCAACGGAATATAATAGATGGCAGTATTTGTATGAATAGAGATGAAAAGAAAAGGCCAAGGAGATTTGAATGCAGCCCGCAAAACACCCCCTCACCCTTCCACCAAACCATCAAAGACCACCAAAAGTCGCAACTCCAAACTCCCCCCTCCGATGCAACTAGCACAACAACCCTTAGAGCTCTATTCGCACCTTATAAGTCCTCGTAACGAGACACTCTCTTACAACCATTTACTGACCAAGCAGTGGGAGGCGCGGGAATTGCAGTTCGGGTGCTTGTAGGGCTGGGGTGAAGAGGGCATAGCGGGATTTGCAGGTTAAGGAGAGCTAGATAAAGGTTGGGGGGAATGCTTTTGAGTGGAGTTGGTCTTGGGGGAATGCGAGTGTAAAGGGGAGAGTGGTAGTGGTGGGGAATGACATTGTTCATGTCGTAGTTGAAAATATTCGCTTAATGCTATTGAGGTAGAAGTAAGAGGATGGAAAATGAGTTACTTAATATTGTACTGCACTCATGACAGCATCGTCGACAAGGTAGGCACTTCGAGACTAAAGTCAGTACAGAGGACAGCAAACCCGGAGTTTGACTGAAGTGTAGTTCGTAGGATGGCATATCGTAAGAATAGCTGATACTGATATGGACATGGATGGAATGTATAGAATTGGGAGCTATTCTACTATATCACAGTATACTCGATAGCAAGCCCACTACGAATATGGAGACATAACTAAGCAACGATAAATTATGCTAACAGGAAGCTGCGAAACTAAAACCAAGCAAATAACCATACCCTATTCCATGCCCAAAGTAAACCATCACTCAACGCCTATTCTCTTAAATCCTGGGTATTGCAACTAATCAGACATAATCCATCGGCGAACTCCACATCCACATCGCATCTCGTTCAATCAAAAACCCTCGTCATAGGGCAGATGCCAATAGCTATTCCGTTTCCAGGTGATAGTCGATACCCAAGGAGGTTTATGTAAAAGAGCCCAAACCACTTCCCTCAAGCAGATGCTTCCAAGTAAATACCACACAACAGATGTGATGACACTTCATACACGCCTGTCTTTGATAAGATGACCCGCATCAGAACAGACGCCGAGCCAATGTCACAGGCGAGCTTCACAATCTGTCGTCGCTAAAATGCAAGAAACCAAAAAGAAAAAAAAAAAAAAACACGATAAAGTTTAATCATCGCTGACCCGTCGCTCTGGACGTGGCTTTCTCAAACTCTTCATACGGTTAAGCAATCCACCGCCACCGTTGTTGGGCTTGCTTTCATCAAATCCTGGATTCGAGCGCTCGTTGGAGAAGGTGCTCTGCTTGGGGCTGCTAGAGGATCGGGCCCGGCCAGCTTCAGGGGTTGGTCGCGTGTCTTCGACGCTGTTGATCTTCGCACCCTTCTTGTCCCATTCTTCGTCATAATCTTGTATAGAAGGTTTGCGTTCAGGCACACGGGGGGGTTGGCCGCCTAAACTGGCGGGGCCAGGGTACGACGAATCCGGGGACACGACCCGACCACTGGGAGCTCTGTTAATTCCACGAATGCGTTGCGCAAGACTCTTCTTTCTCTGCAATCCCCCACCACCCGGGGCGGAGCCCTGTTCATTCTCGCTGGCACGGCGCTGCATGGCAGTGCGGCTGGCAGGAGCACCGTCCAGGAATGTGCTGGTTCCCAGTCCTAAACTGGTGGGACCGTGAACTGGCTCAAGCTTAGACTTGGGGTCGAAGCTAACGCCCTCGGCTGATCGGCCCACGGTGTCAGGGGCAGTACCCGTCGAGGCATAATCGTTCCATCCCTCCGCGGCACGGCCATGGAACAGGTCCAGGTCGATGTTCTTGTTCACAGGACCGGCACCACCCAAGGCCATGTTAGTGGAATCTTGGGGGAATGCTTGCATTGGTGCTGCGCGCACGCCCTTGCGGTTCCGGTTAGGGTTACAGGCATCGAACGGTCCGTCGTGATGAAACACTGAAACAGATTAGCATAGGCATTTAAACCAATAGACAAGGACAACTCACTTCCTGTTCCGTAGATGCTGGTGACATCCAACTTATCGATGATATCCATGTGATAGTTGGCCTTCTTGGAGCGAGACGACTTGCCATCACGAGACTTGCCATCGCGATGGCGAGCCTCACGCTCCCGGCGACGTCTCTCTCTTCGTCGTCGCTCCTCTTCAGGGTCCATAACCTTGGGTCGCTCCATGACGGAGGATTCCGAGTTCCGACGGGGTCTGCGTTCCCGCTCACGACCTCCGAGCGTGGTGTTAGACTTAGTCAAAGCGGGCGGATCAGCGAAAATGTCCAATGGATCTTTCTCACGGCTAGACGGGTGTTCTCTGGGATGGCGGCTGGCGGGAGGTCGCTGCTTGAGTCTATCGTCGGGGCGAGGAGGGGCCGGTCGGTGACCATTGGACTGCGGGGCCTGGTTGAGCGACAAGCTGGCCTGTATCAGTTAGAAAAATGAACCTCTTCCAAGAAATCACATGTAAAAAAAAAAGAGGGGAGTACATACAAAAAGATCGCTGGTATTTCCCATGACTTCCTGCGGCACGGGTTGGACCGGCTTAACCGGTTGCAGAGGCTGCTGAAGAGGCTGCATCGGAGGCGACATCATGCTTGCACCTGGAGCAGATTGAGGAGAAATGGCGTCCGAGTCGTCAAGGAAAGGGTTGGTGGAGGTTGGCCGCTCGGGGCGAGGGGCAGAATTAACTGCAGGTGACAGTGCACGGTTTCTAAAGGGATTGTTGGAAGCCAGATTGACCGGCAGTTGGGGCGAGTTTTGACCGTCTGCAAAGAAGGGGAGCAAGTCAGTTATAATGCTTCAAAGAAATTCAGGCAACATCCAGTAAGATGAAAGAGGGGTCAATGCAGAAGACCTGCGCCTGAGCCGCGCCCGAAGAAACAGGGAATTGAGAAGAGGGGGGCGAACGGGCAGGCATGAAACAAACTCAGGGGCATAGGGGGTGGGCTGCGTGGCCATGATCCAAGATCGCACTACAAAGCAAACGACAGGAACGGACCAAGTGGGAAAGGGGAGGACATGGGGCTAGGAGGAGATGAGATGGCATTACGCACCAGACGGACCCGGCGTTACGCCGCCGGGATAGGCGTAGGGAAGGGGTTGCGAGGGAGCGCTCATGGTTGGATAGCTGCAACACTACTGCGCAAAGACCAAGCGGGTAGAGTGGGTGATTGATATACTCCCGACGCAGGAGAGGACAAGCGGTTCGAGGCCAGATGGGAGTTACCACTCCGGCGAGGACGACAGGCAAGAGAAGCTTTTTGGTGAAACGGCGGCGCAAGCAAGCCGCGGCTGTCGGGACCAGCGAGAGGGGAAAGCGCGGTACTGGAAGAGTAGCACGAGGAAAGGAGATTGCTTTAGAGAAAAGCAAACAACAGACGTGACGACGACGCACGACGAAATGAAGGAGCAAAGTGAGAGAGAGAGAGAGAGAGAGAAAGAGGGAAAATCCCCCTGGAAGTAGTTGAAACGAATCGGAGGAGGTATGCAAGCAGATCGTCAGGGAGAAGTTACGTTTATCCAAGCGTTTTGTGGTGAATAGACGCGTATGAGAGAAAAGAGGCGAAGAAAGAACGGAAAGAAAAAAAAAAGGAAAGAAGTTGAAGAGATGGGAGAAAGAGAGAAAGAGGGGAACGGAAGAGAGGGAAAGAGAAAGGGAAGGCAACGCAATAATAATAATGGGTGTGGAGGAGCAGATCAAAGAGGGTTTTTATTAGAACAATCAACAATCCTGACAGCAGCCTAGAGTGTGGTTTGTTATTCTGTATTCTGCTATGTATATTGCTGCAATTCTCCTAAGCACTGGCATCGGAAAATTGTCTTTATTTTTGCCCATTCACTTGCACCCTGTCTGTATATTATTACTAGTATTCTGTATCTGTTCTCGCCTCCTGATCGCCACTCGGCCGTCAGGGGTTGAATGCAGCATTAGTCAGCATCTGTTAGTTAACTAACTACTGACGGAGCATGTCCAGTTCCTCTACTCTGTATGGGTCGTATACAAGTATTTCCTAAACAACTGACTCTCTAGAATAGTGTCCTATATGCTATGAATACGCGGCGAATATGCTGTAATCTCAGACATACCTCCCATCCTCGCTCCGGAATGCCTGTTGCGTCATGTGTAGTACAATCTCCTTGGCGCATTCTATACACATAGTCCGGAAAAGCACTTCTTTATCTCTGCTCTAATCTGGTTCCTGGCTCATTTTCTGATCGTCCTAGCGCATTCACTACTGGTCCTCCTAAGAAGAGGTCTGCAGGTCAGGTCTATAAAAAGAAAACTGCCCGAGATTCCTGTTCCCGAGCTCCCGCTCCGTCCCGTTCTTTTACTCTACCGGGTAATTGTCTTAATCATGTACTCGCACACGGCAACTGTACTCTGTTAATCATCAAACAGATCCTCATCGTTATGTACTGTACTGAATAGTATCCTGTATGCTCCAACATGTATGTAGAAAAAACCCCCAATAACTCCCGTCATAAAGAAAACCGTCAATAAACCCATGTAGACATGACATGACTTGCTAACCGCCTCGGCACCAACTTAAAAACGAACTGAATCACGCATTCGAAACATGACGATCACCGCTAAGCCACAGACTGCTCCCGCTGCTGCTGTTGTTGACGGCGTCTCAGAAGCGGGTTCTGGGCCGCAAAGCCCGCCCTGCGGTTCGATTGAGGTTTGGGTCTCGACAGTGTGTATCTAGATCGTTATTAATATCAAGGAATATACTAGTAAAGGGAACGTAACGTACTTGGCAAATGCACGAGAAAGAGCCTTCTTGCAGCTAACCTTCTGGCTACCAATAAACGAGTCAACCGTCACCGCAATGGCGCGGTCAATATCCTGCGACGAGCAGAAGTCGGACAAACGCATCCTGCAGAAAGACTCCGCAATACGCATAATAGCTTCGAGGTGACGGACCTACAACATTTTTGTTAGCGTTGCTTTTCTTGACTCTGGGTAGGTTCGAACATACAGTAATAGGATAAGCACCCGTAGCTAACGACTCTCTTCTCATGTCGGCAAACAGACGAGCAATCTTGTCCTGATCAATCTGGTAGAGCTTGGGACGGCATCGTTCACGGGCATAGAGGATGTATTTCCGGAGCAGTTCCTGCGGGATTTCGCCTTCCCTTTCTTCCTCTGCCTTGCGCTGTTCTTCTTCGCGGCGCTGAATCTCGTCTGGCCTCAGGGGCAGACGAATTCCGTCCTCATCAACTCGGTAGCCCTCCTCGTCAATAAGGTTACCGTCGTCATCGATCAGACGACCCTGCTCGTTGCGACGGGGTCTAGCAGGGTTAGCACGGGAGTGCGATTCAACGACGAAGCTGGCGAGACGCTCGTCCTCTGTTGGCTCGACTGTATCACGGACAACGCAGAGGATATCGAAACGCGACAGGATGGGCTCAGTGAGCTCGACGTTGTGAGAGAAGGGGGCGGTGCTGTTGTAGCGGCCACCGATAGGATTAGCGGCGGCAACAACGGCGCAACGGGCCTGGAGTGTGGTGACGATGCCAGCCTTGGAAATGGAGATGGTTTGTTGTTCCATAGCTTCGTGAATGGATGTCCGATCTTGGTCGTTCATCTTGTCGAATTCATCAATGAGACAGGTACCACGGTCTGCCAACACGAGAGCACCGCCTTCAAGCGTCCATTCACTGGTAAGGGGATCGCGGCGGACGCTGGCGGTCAAACCGACAGCACTAGCTCCTTGACCAGTTGCAAAGACAGCACGGTGAGCTGTCTTCTCAGTATACTTGAGGAACTGTGACTTGGCCGTACCGGGGTCACCAAGCAGCAGAACATTGATGTCACCACGGATGGCCATCTTACCCTGAGCTTCTTTGCTGACACCACCAAACAACGAGAGCGCAATAGCTGTCTTGACATCGTGATGCCCGTAAATACTGGGTGCCATGGAGCGGATGATCTTGTCGACAATATCAGGGTCCTTGGACAGGTTACGGATTTGACGCTCGTCTTCTTCAGTCATGCGGAAGCCAGCCAGCTGGTCATGCGACTTGACTACATGGTTGGCTTCGAGAATTGTGGCGAAAACAGGGAATCCGTTCTTGTTGTTTAGCTGCGCGTCATAGCTGTTGCGATAAATACCAGTCACTTCAACCTCGTCACCGGGCTTGGCCGTGTCGATCAGGTCGGCAAGAAGAATAACCTCACGTTGACGGGGAAGTCTTCCGGCTGGGACAGAGCCAGGAGACTCCTGCAATGTCAATTTCTGATAGTTCCGGTATACCGTCTTCTCCGAGTTCACTGTGAACGGCCCCTTGGACTGACAGTTTTGACAGTAGGAGATCTTGACTTCGGCACTGGCCTCCTGCTGGAACGGACCCAGAGTGATGTTACACTTTTGGCAGATGAACATCACATATTTCAGCTGAGGGAACACGCCACTCCGGCGGGTTACGACACCGCCAACTCGAACAAGACAGTTGAGGTGCGACTGGCGCAGCTGCCGCAGGGTATATGTAGTCGGGACGTCTGTCATGCGCACGTGGATCTCGTTGTGAATATCGTGGTATTGAGGATAGTGGAAGAGAGTAACATCAAGGGCGGCTTGGTCAAACACCTTCAGGACCTCAGTAGGCTCATTCGCGACGAAATACGAAAGAGCAGCCTTAGCCTCGGCCAAGTGGTTGTAGGACACTTCGAGCGATGCTGAGTTAACCTCGCCCAGAGTCTTAATCTTGTTTCCGTAGACTGACGAGCCAGCTGCATCAATGTACTCTGTCAGGAAAGCTTTGAATTCTCGGTAAATTGAGCGCAGGACCTGAGGTTGTAGGATCCAATCCGTAAGGTTGGATGCCTTGACATCCTGCAATTCATCCAGAGTAAGCTCTTCCATGGCGTCATCGCCCATATCAACATCCTCTCGGTCCTCATCATAACGGTTTCTTCGCCGACGAGGCTGACGTGTGAGATCCAGATCACCATCATCATCATCCGGCATGAAAGCCGCAGGCATCCGACGGCGACGTTCCGCTTCACGATCTCTCTTGAACATTCGGGCTTCGAGTTGCCGACGCGTACCAAGGTCTAGGTCTTCTTGCTCCTGATCATCGTCGTCGATATATTCGCCTCGGTATTGGTCGTCGGCGGTCGCCCGATAATCTCTCTCAAAGTTATCACCGAACAGATCGATCCCATCTTCATCCTCTGCCATTTCCTCAAGGTCATCAACATCACCGAGGGCTTCTGCTTCTTCATCTCTGTCGCTTTCATCGTCGCCAAACGGGGCCGGAGGGGACGAGGGCGGCGCTACCGAGGGGTTAGCGGGATACCAGACAAGCCTTTCTCAAACTTACGACTCGACGGCGGAGCAGCGATCGAAGAAGTTTCATCATCGGGCTCGCGAGATCTCTTCCGGCGGTTCAGATTGCCCAACCCGCGATTTGCTGCGGATTGGCTTGGTCGTAGAGGTGAACTGCACGCACACAACTTGGTTAGAAAACCCAGAAAGACGACACTTTGTCACGGAATGCATTGAATGTTGACTCGGGAGAACTCACCTCATACTATGTGTGGTATTATAGGTGTCCCAGCAATGGAATTAAAAAGGATTAAACAGAAGCAATCATCGACTGGGAAAAGTGTCGTCTGGCATCCATCCACTTGAAAGGAGACCGAAGGGAGAAAGATTCTTCCTTGGCACCGCTACACGGTGGACGCGTTGAGGCGCGTAACGCGTCACTGTCCATTAAACCCCGATCGGGAAAGATGATTTTCGTGGACTTTCCGTATCGGGATTAGCTCCTTATCGCAACCCTCAATCCAACTCCTAACCATGGTCGACTTTCCATATCATGACTCGTTCAAGACCTCAAATTATACAACTACCTCAGGCCTTAGTATCTTAACTCTAACAAGTTCTCAAGTTCCCTCGCCTCTCAACATGGTTTGCGTGTCACTTAACGAATGTCGTCGGATTCGGTGTCGGATATTTCGAGCACTACGATTGGCACCCTCTAAATCATGGTTACTCAGAATGTCAATAGAGCTCATCTAAAATATCTTATCTTGTCTGCCGTTATCTAGTCAGGTCTGTTTGGCCCTAACCTGCAAGGACCTCTACAACATATTCAGCCCAGTTTTCTAGGCCAGTGAGTTACAGTTTCCTCGGCTGGGTCAAACACGAAAACATCCAGATGACGAAGATGACGACTATTATATACGTATGAGTCTTTTCCAACAGCTTGAGAATGACAAGTGGGCATGTTGTCCACATTGTCAAATGCTACACCCACGTAAAGATTTGCCGGGTACGAACTGACAAACTCTGCATGTATATAGTATTGCAATGCTTTCTCTCTGGTTATTTGATATATGCCCTTGCATCACATTGACACCTCGTACTCGCGCGCATATCATAAGGCATCTTGGGCGGGGAGCAAATAATAGACTGATCCCAGATGTAATGAGCAAGGGGCAGTTGAAAGACTCAAAAACTGATACAGGGGAGCATGCTCTTTTGCATGAGTGCATGCAGTATTCAAGTTAAAATCAGGTTTTCGATTGAAAAAGGCGATAAGTTAATGGTCTGTACTCAATATGAGGTGCCAGCTCAAGTCTTAAATGTAAGCTTAGTCTACCTCTGCCGCCATGACTTGAAAATAGTCCGAAAGCATCACAAATTGCCAACCATCGATCTTTGTACTTATTGCAATACCCTCATCACCAAGTTGTCAAATCATAGCGACGTTCCAAGGTCGATAACAATGCAAGCCACACGGTACCTAGGACGCGGGAGAATGGCCTTTCAGCAATTACGATGAGAAGTTGTGTTTAAAGACTCAATCGACACAGGTTTTTCCTTCCTAAATATGATTAGAATGATTGCTTTCTATTCTGTAGTTGCTGCTGCTATGCCGGAAGGGGTTTTGTCATTTTTTACTTGCTAATGCGGTAATGCCCAGTCCATACAAGTAGAAATAGGCCCTCAACTGGTATAGAATGGCTTCCATGTCATGCGATATAAGCTTTTCATTGAACCATGTCATATTTTCGTATACGACTTCTTCAACAAGAAGTAAGTTGCCTATCATACTCTTGAATTCTCATGCTTGATCGTTCTCATGATGGCCTCATTAACACCAAGCATATAGACCTTGCCAATTCAGACCGCGCAGCAACGGCAAATCCTGAACCTCTGCTACCCTCTATATTCTTACCGCACAGGTTCCCTACGGAACTCCTGAAACTCTCGTCTCATCTGCCATCACCAAATCAAGTTTGCTTGGCCTTGACCTGCAAGGAACTCTTCAACATCTTCGTCTCTGTGCTCGAGGCTGAAGTGTTGAGATTATCAGGGATGAATCTAACGATAGATGAGTTGGACGAGGAAGCTGCTTCCGGCGAAGACAGTTCAGACGAGGAATTCGATTCATCTGGTTTTGACAAGAAAGATGAGTCGGACGAAAAAGGCGATTCTGATGCCGATGGGGAGGAAGAAGATGGAAATACGAAAGAAGAAGACCCCAAGTGGTATTCGCGGATACACCTTCTCTGCCTACTAGAAGACAACAAATGGACGTGCTGTGCATATTGTAAGAAATTATATCCATATGAAGAGTTTCCAGCAGGTGAACTGTCACAAACTCCTTCCAGAAGATGATGTGCCAAATACAGGCTACTTGATATATGCCCTTGCATCACATTGACACCCCGTGGTCGCGCCCGTATCGTAAGGCATCTGCAGAAAACAAGGGGAAAGCAACCTCCTATTGATCGGCAAGGGACTGCTCGAGATGCAAGAACCGAAAAAGAAAGTGATTATCTTTCTCACGAATATGGTGCGTATCGCAACATTCGAGCTGAAATGAGGTTCTATCTCAGAAAAGGTGCTAAGTTATTTACCCGTACTCGGTTTGGGATTCCTTCATCGGCTTCCGAAGCGAATACAAAAATAGTATATATCTGCCCTGAAGAGAGCCTTGGCGACAGCTTATTCGAAATGGGGGGCTTTGATGCTCCAGAATCCCGAAATTGCTACCGGTGCCTAATACATATCAGGTTGTTAAGTTCTGAGCCCGAGATGAAGGTAGTGCAATCCACGCGTATTTAGGGAAAGCGAATGGCCTTATAATCGCTATGATCCGAAGTTATTGAGCCATGATCGAAAATATATATTTATTCATCTTCATTAAATATTATTTTTTAATTGCTACCGTTAGCCGAAGATGTCGCCATTCTGCATTGCCCAATCTGTACATTTAGTTGTAGGATAGGTAGGCGGTCCCAATTGGCATAATCATCCGGTATGCAAACACTGCAAACAAAAATACGGCGCGCTGATAAGAGCCACTGTTTTGGGGAATCTCTTGCGCTGCAAAGACATCTATCATAGGCTTCCATTGACCCCAAAAGCCGATATGGATAACTCAGAAAGCGCCAGGACTGCTCGCGATCAAGAGACGCCGAAGGTTGCAGATGGAATCGCAATGCGTCGAGACAGCCTTGCTTCCCATGATTCTCGCACGGTTACCTCGGAAGAATCCCACACAGCGAAAGAGTGAGTATGCTTGATATGAATATGGAATTTCCATATACAACTGTATTGATGAGGCTCTGACAAGTTTACCTCTTGTAGATTCATCGAGAATCAACTACAGCTCGAAGCCGACGCGCGCGAAGCCCTTCCATATGTGAGTGCATGCCTCAGAATGTCTCAGGAATACATTCACTAACCTGGAGCTTTCTAGTCCTTCGACTCATGCTCACAAGTTCTAGGCCCCCTCCGTCAAAGCCTCTTCGCTTGCCTTACCTGCAACCCGTCTACTAAACCCGACGAGTCGTATACCCCCGCCGGCGTCTGCTACTCCTGCTCCATCTCTTGTCATGGCGAGCATACCCTTGTTGAGCTATTCGGCAAGAGAGACTTTGTCTGCGATTGCGGAACTACTCGCCTCCCTCCTTCTGCTCCCTGTACGCTCAGAAATGACCCGAGGACCGGCCGAAAGGGTGTCCATTCGCAGGATCCCGCGGCGAACAACAAATACAACCAGAACTTCCAGAACAAGTTCTGTGGGTGCAGTGAATCTTACGATGCTGATAAAGAGAAAGGAACTATGTTCCAGTGTCTGGGTCTAGGTACGGTTGAGACGGGAGGCTGTGGAGAGGACTGGTGGCATCCGGAGTGCATCGTTGGTCTGCCCCGGGACTGGCATAAGGCGCAAAAGAAGGAGGGAGATGACAACGAAGATGAGGAGCCGCCTTTGCCTCCGGGCTTCCCTGCGGAGGATGAATTTGAGACCTTCCTTTGCTACAAATGTATCGAGTCGAATCCGTGGTTGAAGCGCTACGCTGGAACAGATGGTTTTCTGCCTCCGATTTATTATAAGGGTGGTCAATTTAAGGTTCCTAAGGACGGCGAGTCTAGCAAGGAGGATACGGCCAATGCGCCACAAGAAAACGAAAGCAACTCAAAAAAGCGCAAGATCGAGGACGACGAGGATGAGCCAACATCAAAGAAGCCAAAGGCCGATGAGAGCATTGCCGCAGACCCTGAGTCCAAGTTTGAGCACGAACTCGAACCCGAACCCAAACCAGAACAACCCACCAACATACATGACACCCTCCCCAAGGCCACACCCACCGGACCATTCTCCCTCTTCCTCAAAGAAGACTTCCGCGACCATTTCTGCCGCTGCCCTCAGTGCTACCCAGACCTCTCCATTCACCGCCAACTCCGCGAAGAAGAAGAAACCTACGAACCCCCACTCTCAGAAGCCGACGACGAAGAACCCAACGGCGGCGGAAGTGCGGGTACCGGCTCCCTCCTCGACCGCGGCGAAGCAGCATTCAGCAACATGGACCGCGTGCGGGCTATCGAGGGTGCAATGGTCTACAACCACCTGCGCGATAAGGTGAAGGAGTTCCTAGCGCCATTTGCGGAGAGTGGGACTGCTGTTGGGGCGGAGGATATCAAGGAGTATTTTGCGAAGTTAAGGGGTGATCCTGCGGCGGCGACGAATGATGATGGTGAGAGTAATAGCAATGAGGGTGGTAATAGGCGTGAGCAAAGCGGTATGTTTTAGTTCTCATGCTTTGCAAATTTAGTTTATTATCGATGCTAACGTCAGAACAGGATATTGAGGTGTTGTGTCGAGTTCTTTCTTATTTGTATTATGGAGTAATTAATGTCGGACAGGGTTAGGTATGTGTATGACTATGGGTATTGGGGGAAATGATTCAAAGGCGCAACCGACGGATGGTGTATCAATTATGTTCAACTAATTTGTATTCGACGAGCCATTGAACGAAAACCTCTAAATGAACAATAATTTATCAAGGAATATGGTATATAAATGTAGCTCCAAACCACGAACGCCGGCTTCCGCATGCTGAAAAAGAAAAAAAAAAAAAAAAAAAAAAAAATAAATGAACCCCCATTATGAAAACCACTACTCCTTGAGCCTCTTCGCCGCCCTCCCCAACAAACTGTCATCCGGTAACCCACTCCTCTTCGTCCCCGGCAACGAACCACTCCTAATATCCCCATCATCCTGCGTAACCCGCCGATGTGGATACCTTCCCTCAAGACCCTGGAAGCAATCCGCAGAAACAGGCCCCCCTTCCTTAAAGTACGGATGTTCGAGTGCTTCCTGCGCAGTAATACGTTTCGTAGGATCATATTCGAGAAGACGGGAGAGGAGATCTAGTCCCTCTGCTCCTGGGGTCCCGATATTCGAGGTAGACGAGTAGCCGCCGTTTTTCAGACAGTTCGTGTACCAGGATTCGAGGCTCGGTGGGCGGGAGAAGTGGTGGCCCGACGAGGCGCGCGATAGCGCGAGGGATTGGAGCTGGGAGTACTCCGGCATGGAAACGAGACCCGGCCAGGTTTCTTTGCGAGGCATGCCCATGATTTCGATTATGCGCATCATTTGGTTGCGTTGGAAGGGAACGGTTTTTTTGCTGTCCATTTTGGCTTCTTCGCCTTTGAAAATGGGCCGCAGGGAGAGGAGTTCTGCAAAGATACAACCCACGGCCCATAGGTCGACTGCGGGTGTGTAATGGCGGCTCCCCATGAGGAGTTCAGGGGCACGGTACCAAATCGTAACAACGACTTTGTCGCCCGAGAAGAGGGAGTTAAGTGGTTTATAGAAGAGGCGTGCGAGGCCCAGATCTCCGATGCGGATTGCGCCACTGGAGGTTACTAGAATATTAGCAGGTTTGAGGTCGCGGTGCAGGACCCAGTTTGTGTGGAGGTAGTAGAGGCCGTTTAGGAGTTGGAAGAGAATTGAGCGGACCATTGGGGCTGAAATGGCGTGTCTTTGCGGGGTGGTGTGGTGGTGGATGATTTGGAGGAGGTCGTGGTCTGTGTATTCGAAGACCATGAAGATGCATTTGTCTTCGAGGATAATTTCTGCTAGTTGGACCACATTGGGGTGGTCTAGTTCGGAGCAAAGAGACATTTCCCGGATGGCGGATTGGGAGAGGCCGGTGTATTGGATGACCTCGCCTTCTTTTTCCGGTTTGAATCTGATAAACATTAGTGAACGAATTCATCAAACGATGAGATGCACGCACTTCTTGATGGCGAATTCACCCCTCCGGCCATCTTTCGCCAGGGCTTTGTATACTCGGCCATATGTACCACTGCTGATGAAACCAACAATGTGATATTTGTCGCGTACACGGACTTTGCTGGTATACCCAGTTCCAGCCGGTCTTCTTGTATCTATGCTTTCTTCATGTCGTTAGCATCTACTCCGCACTGACTATGTCATCGACTATCATCAACCGCAAGAAAGGAAATAAAAGCAGCACTATTAGAAGCAATTCAACCCGCAAAACATTGGAGAGGGATTCATTACCACGAGGATAAAACCCGCCAAAGGAGTTGAAAAGAGGAAAATTGCGGTTAAACATGATAGACAAAACAATCACCATCCAAGAAATGAAAATAGAAAAGAAAATAAGGACAGATGCAGGAATTATACAATTAAAGACCCGTCAACAACTCCCTGACATGCTTTCGGATCAAAATAAACCCAACGGAAAGAAAAGAAGACAGTATCAAACAGAAGTGGCAATATTACCATCGACCGCAGCCTGCAGACTCCTTTTCAACACCAAACTCTGAGAGACAGTACTAGTGGCCACGGCAGGCCTGGAAGATGATGATGCTGTCAATGGACCCGAGCTGGAGGGTTGTTGGTTGGTCAGGGTCATGGAGATCGGTGTATCAGCAGTACAAATATGTAATTAGTGTTCACAGGGCATGGACACGGTGGGGTACGGCACAGGCAATGCTGTATGCGAGAAAGAGCCTGGTTAATCTGATTGATGGACTTGGGATAGGACCAGCTGTAGTTATCCATGGGAGGATTTGCTGGCGATATCGGTCGGGGTTAGTCAGCAATGAAACAAGATGGAGTGCTATGGGTGACACCCCATATACGGAGTAGAGCATAATTGTATAATTAAGTACAGGGGTTAGAATGGCTTGATTGATTGTGTTGATAGCTTGGATAGCTGTACCATATCTATGCTCTCCTTTGGGGTTATTCCACACTTAGGTGCTTCGGTCCTCGGTCTTCTCCGGCAGCTTGACGCTCACGATGCTGCTATCGCATGTTAGCCGAATGAAAAATATCCATTGAAGAATGATCCTTCAGGTAAGCAATCTTACAAGGCAGACTCGGGTGTTTACAGAGTACAGAGTACTACTATAAATACGAGGTAGGCTGTGAACGGGATCCTCACAAGTCAAGATCTGCAACGTCATCGCGTCTCTTCAACTCCTAATCTTACACCTCGACAACAACACCCACACAACCCGAGATGTGCGTTTCTGTTCTTGAAAGCTGATACTATCAAGATAACCATATATAAAACTAGCAGCTTATCTCTTCTATACTATGGCTTTCAGCCAACACAAGGTCACACCGTATCTGGTATACCTGGTATTTATCACCACACTCGGGCCGCTGCAATTCGGATATCACCTGGTACGGCAGATATTACACTCAGTTGAATGATATCGCTGACAAGTCTTCAGGCCGAACTTAACGCCCCGCAATCCGTGATAACATGCGAACGACAAAGCATCCACTCCTCCGTCGCAAACCTTTCGCCGCAATGCATTCACATGAATCCCTCACAATTCGGCCTCGTATCCTCCATTTACACACTCGGTGGTCTCCTGGGCGCTCTGCTGGGCGGCCCTGTCGCGACCAGATATGGACGACTATTTGTCCTACGAACAACAACCATCTTCTTTATCCTGGGTCCCCTCGCAATGACAATGGCAGGTAGCATCGCCGTGATAAGCGTTGGTAGAGTGATAGCTGGCGTCGGGGCGGGGGCTGCTATTGTGGTTGGGCCAATCTACATATCAGAGATTGCGCCTCACAATGCTCGGGGATTCTTTGGTGCCTTTACCCAGATTATGGCCAACGTTGGTATCCTCTTGACTCAAACATTGGGATTATTCATGAGCAGAGGGAGCAGGTGGAGGACAATACTCTTTATTGCTGGTGTCATCGGATTCGCGGAGTTCTTGGGTCTCTTCTTCGTGCCGGAAAGTCCGATTTGGCTGGCAGAACACCAGAAGACGACGCAGGCGCGACAAGTACTTCAGCGCATTCGAGGGAAGAATGCGGATATCGATGGTGAAATTGAAGGGTGGAATGTCTCCACGGATCCTGTCGACCCGTCCGACGAAGAGGAGTCTCTGCTCGAGCACCAGTTGGGAGACGCATCTTCCAAGCAACCCCCAGTTACCATTCTGCGTGCTATTATGGACCCTGAACACCGTCAAGCGATTATCGCTGTGATCGGAGTGATGGTCGCCCAGCAGTTCACTGGTATTAACAGTATCGTGATGTACAGTGTTTCGCTGTTGCAGACCATTCTCCCAACTACGGCCGCATTACTAACTGTGATGATCTCCGCCATCAACCTCGTCATCACGCTGGCTTGCTCACCACTGCCAGACAAGATTGGTCGACGCAAGTGCCTTCTCCTCAGTATCACTGGTGTAGGTATCGATTCCGTCCTATTGGCCTTAGGAATCTACTTCAACCAGAAGGCTTTGTCATCCATCGCGGCGCTGCTGTTCGTTGCTTTCTTTGCCTTAGGCCTTGGTCCGGTCCCCTTCATTCTGTCATCTGAACTGGTTGGGCCAGAAGCTGTTGGGGCGACGCAGAGCTTGGCACTTGGGGCTAACTGGATTGCGACTTTTGTGGTCGCTCAATTCTTCCCGGTCGTTAATGATGCGTTGGGTGGTCGAGGAAAGGTATACTGGATCTTTGCCGTTTTGGCCGCTGTTATGGGCTCGTTCATCTATAAGTTTGTTCCGGAAACCAAGGACAAGGCTAATGCTGATGAGGTCTGGGGTCGGGAGAACCGGAGACGGGATTAGTTCTGGAATTCATGGTCTTATTCGACCAGATGATTACTACTATGCCAAATGGACTGCATAAACATATACATCATTGACAGCATGCCCATTAGACTCAATTCGCGCTATTGACAGCCTGGCAAAAAGACAACCAAGAATGGCACTATACAGGCAAGCTTGTCAATCAATCTCCGGTATTGTCCAGAAGGTACCTTAGTCTGGCGACAAATAGGAGAACTGAGCCGGGCGAGTTGAAAAGAATCCCATTTCAAGCAGATGGGAATACTCGGAACGAGATTTGAGTCAGGAAGTTTTTCACCTTTTGGATTTCACACCGATACTGGTTATTCTTAACACCTTCCAACTATTGCAAATATCAAGCAGTTCATAGTGAATCAATCATTCTACACCACAACACTGTGCTACCGTAGTTCACCTGTAGCTAGAGCTTATGCCTCCATCGTTGAGCTACATGTCACACTAAACATAGCATTCTAGCAATGTCTTAAGGTTCCGCGACGATCCGATGGGCTATGCAAGACAAGCAATTTCGAACAGTATGGGTCTGAATACATTCATTTCCGAGCCAGATCCGAGAGGCATTTTCAGGCAGAAATCCGGAATATATCACATGACCAATACGGGTGTCGACAGTGGCACAGTGCGTAGGCAGCCACTTTCTGCCCCTCGTACACTGTAAATCGGGACATTACATGTCAGGTCCAAACGGTTTTGAATGGGCTTTTTTTGGGGGGGAGGGCGGGGGGAAATTATATCAGAGTGCACGTTATGCGCCTGTATCCTGGAAAGATGTAACCATTGGCTATCGCTTATGTTGTCATGGCTGAACCTTCATAATTTTATACACCAGCCCACTTGATATATATAGAACTCCACTGCTCTGTTTCCATGCTTTCCGTTGTTTATCCCTCATTCCTCATAACTCTCCCAAATTGACAAAATCTAATAAACTTCCATAACCTCTTCTTTTCTGAATAATTACCTTTGGCGGTATCGCTTGTACGGTTAAGTTGATTGGCTCTCTGATCGACCGAACGGATCGAGATCGACCCGGGAATTGGGAGAGTCCATTTATAAGTAGCGACAGACATCGGCAGTGCTTCTGACGGTTGAGCCTCCATCAATCAATCCCTTTTCCTTTCTTTCCCCCCATCATCTTTCTCACTCATAGCGCGACCTCTCCTGTCCTCTCCTCCATCTATATCCTCCGCATCGTTATTCCCCGGGCAGAGAAAGTCGCGACGCTCTGTCTGACGTGACGTCTTTCTCATAATCCCCGCATTCTTAACAATTTTACCACCACCATGGTCCGGTTACCCATACCGCAACGACTGAGTTCGCATCTCAGCTCGAAAACCCCGACTCCGGGGCAGAGTCGCACGCCAAGTCCGTCGCGAGGAATAGAGAAGCCGTTGATTCTCAAGGTCGCCGTGTTGAAAGTGAGTAATCGAATTCTTGTTTCCCTCCTGTTGACCGCTTGGAAGTTAACGATATTTCTCAATTACTAGGGAAGGGACCTTGCGCCGAAAGATCGAGGCGGAACGAGTGATCCGGTGAGCATTGTCGCGGGAACAAGACACCAAGACCCCGAGCCAGGAATGCTGACTGCAACGTGTCTTAGTATTTGATCGTTACGCTCGGAGATTCCCGACAGTCGACCCCCACGATACCGAAAACCCTTAATCCAGAATGGAACGTCGCATTCGAGATGCCTGTGGTCGGAGTTCCGCTGTTGGAGTGTATTTGCTGGGATCATGACCGGTTTGGCAAGGACTACATGGGGGAGTTTGATATTCCCCTCGAGGATATTTTCCAAGAGGGCGAGGTCAATCGAGAGGTGGGTGCCGTAATATCGCCCGGAGTCTGTTCTGGAGCCCGGAGCTGACTTCATAAAGCCGAAATGGTATACCCTCGAATCGAAACGGCGACCGGCCCGCAAGAAGGATAGTACCGTCTCTGGAGAGATTCTGCTGCAGTTCTCCCTGGTCGATACCGCGAATCCTATGGCCTCGGCCCAGGACACATACCGCAAATTCCAGAATCTTGTTTGTTTCGGCGAGGAGGAAGACTACTTCCCTCAGGAATCCTCGCAGGACTTGGAAGATGTCGACCGAGATGAAGAGACCTCCGACGATGCCGACGAACCCGAGGTCGCTGAAAAACGCAGGAGACGTCTTCGTCTGAAAAGTCTGAGAAACAAGAGCTTAGCGGCTAGGGCATATCAGTTTTCTGGCGTGGGCAACGGAGTGCAGGGCATCGTGTTCATGGAGATTGTTCGTGTCACGGACCTTCCGCCAGAAAAGAACGGTATGTCCGGCCAGGTTACAGCGAATGGCTCTTCAGGTTACTAATTCATTTGTTACAGTCACTCGGACATCCTTCGATATGGACCCATTCGTTGTCACTTCACTAGGGAGGAAGACGCTCCGAACCCCCGTTATCCGCCACAACCTGAACCCGGAGTACAACGAGAAGATGGTTTTCCAGGTCATGAGGCACGAGCAATCATTTACCATCAGCTTCGCAGTGGTCGACCGAGACAAGTTCTCTGGTAACGACTTTGTTGCTTCGGCCGGTTTCCCCCTTCAAACCCTCATCCAATCCGCGCCAGAATCGGATCCTGAAACGGGCTTGTACAAATTCCTCGACCCGACACTGGATCCGACCGGGCCTGAAGATGCAAAATCTGGTTCCAGAATTGGAATCAGTCCTTCCTCTTCTACTCAGAAGCTCCCAATGAGGCCTTCCATGAAGTCTCGGAACTCAGGCACTTCAGTCTCCGGCCGCTCAATCTCACGCCACTCTCAGCATGAACCACCACCGTCGATTCCGCCAATCATCGTACCGGAGGTTGGAGAGGAGGAGCTAGCGGCACCAGAGGAAGTGGAAGAAAGGGATGAGGAAAGCAAAGGCGCATTCAAAGCGCCTACAGATGCTATCCCCGACAGCGGCATCGCTCCACTAGATACCGATGGTCTTAAAACGTACAAGATTCCTCTCATTTTGAAGCACAAGGAACGGTGGGAAGATAAACACTCGCCAGAGCTTGTTATAAAAGCGAAGTATCTACCATACCGCGCACTTCGCCAGCAGTTCTGGCGCCTTATGCTCCGGCAGTACGATGCTGATGACAGCGGCCGTATCGACAAGACAGAATTGACGACAATGCTCGATACCCTTGGCTCGACTCTGAAGGAAACTACAATTGAGAGTTTCTTCCAGCGTTTCCAGGCTGAGAATGAACCATTGGAAACAATGGACTTGTCATTCGACCAAGTCGTCATTTGTCTAGAAGACACCTTGCAGAATCTGCAAAAGGATCCAAGAGTCGCTATGAGAGCGCACTCGCACACGCCATCGTCGGGTAGTCAGGATAGCGAAGAGCCGTCTAGCAGTGATGACCTGGCCGCGGAAACCAGCACTAGCTTCCCATCCAATATGGATACACAAGGCACATCCGTGCCCACACTACCCAGTGACGAGCAGCCTGGCACTACCGAAGACGATCTTCAGCCAGATGACTTGGGCGATGAGCGGGGTGAAGAGCATGTTGTTGAAATCCGTGAATGCCCCTTATGTCACCAGCCACGTCTTGAGAAGCGGTCGGATGCGGATATCATCACTCATATTGCTACCTGTGCAAGCCGGGACTGGCGACAAGTCGACAATCTCGTTATGGGTGGCTTCGTTACGTCCAGCCAGGCGCAGCGTAAGTGGTACACCAAGGTGATCACCAAGATTTCTTATGGTGGTTACAAGCTGGGTGCCAACTCAGCCAACATCCTCGTTCAAGATCGCATTACTGGACAGATCAACGAGGAGCGTATGAGTGTCTACGTGCGGTTGGGTATCCGCTTGTTGTACAAGGGATTGAAGAGTCGGGAGATGGAGAAGAAGAGAAGTACGCCACCCGCCCCAAATGTTCTTCATTCCAGAGAGTAAAAGGCTGACCAAATATACAGTCCGTCGCATTCTGAAGTCTATGAGTATCAAGCAGGGCAAGAAATACGATGACCCCGACTCCGCGAGCCAGATTAAGGACTTTATCGGTTTCCACCAGCTCGATATGTCAGAAGTCTTGCTGCCCATCGAGGAGTTCAAGAACTTTAACGAGTTCTTCTACCGGCAGCTGAAGCCCCATGCTCGTCCATGCTCCGCTCCTGAGGAGCCCCGGATTGCTGTGTCCCCTGCCGACTGCCGCTCAGTGGTCTTTGACCGGATGAGCGAAGCCACCAGTATCTGGGTCAAGGGCCGAGAATTCTCCCTTGAAAGACTTCTTGGGGACGCCTACCCCGAGGACGTCAGCCGTTACAAGAACGGTGCCCTCGGAATCTTCCGCCTTGCTCCTCAGGACTACCACCGTTTCCACATTCCCGTGGATGGTGTCATGGGGACCCCGAAGACGATTGAAGGCGAGTACTACACGGTGAACCCGATGGCCATCCGTTCTGCGCTGGACGTGTACGGCGAGAACGTGCGTATCTTGGTCCCGATCGATTCAGTCGCCCACGGCCGCGTCATGATCATCTGTGTCGGAGCGATGATGGTCGGCAGCACGGTGATCACCCGTCAAGCCGGAGAGAAGGTGGCCCGTGGAGAAGAACTTGGCTACTTCAAGTTTGGTGGAAGTACCCTTCTTGTTTTGTTCGAAGATGATAAGATCAACTTTGATTCCGACTTGGTGGAGAACTCGAGAGGTCCTCTGGAGACTTTAGTACGTCCCCTTCCTTCGCTGTAGCCAGCTAGCAACATTTACTAACACAAAAACAGGTTCGCGTAGGGATGTCTATCGGTCACAGCCCCGAAATCCCTCAATTCGAGCCGGACTTCCCCAAGAAAGAGAATGTCACAGTGGAGGAAATGCAGGCCGCTAAGCGACGAATCGAAGGCAGTCTGGCACCGCCGACCGATCCGTCTGGGATTCAGTAGTACCTTTTTTTGTGTTTTTCTTCATTTCTTCCATTCATTGTGCATTTTAGCGGTGTCATACATTGTCTGTCATTTTGCAGCATTTAGCGTTGAGGCAAGGACAGGGGCCTTGTGGCATTATGTAGTAACATTTAGTTGGTGGTGATAGAGTGATGTACATGTCTGCATATACAATTGCCCACTACAATTTTTACAGAGCGTCTTGCAGAGAACACTCTTAACTATGGAATTGTAGTTGTGTGTGTCCCAAAACGGCATAGCGCGGATCCCCACGCGCCGCCAACCAAAACAACCGCGTGCTGCGGCGGCTCGCAAGAGCAAATCCCCGTCAAACCCGACGTCAAAGACTCCCATACCAAGGCCGCGCAAGGCTCTGGTGCCAGAAACCGCCAAACAACCTATACTCAACAATACTACGACTTGGAATACTGCCTACCCATACATTGCGGCTTGAAAGGCCGTGCGACCGGCGAGAAAACGCGACTCCGGCAAAATCACAACTTCTCCGTCGTCACCACCACCACCGGTACTCCGTCGGAAAGAGATTACCGCCACCCCCTCTTGCTACGACGAGCGCATATCGGGGTTATTGTTGATATTGGCGGGATTAAGTTGAAGGGGGAAAAGAGATAAGGACGCGTTGAATTGATTGCGACTGCTGTGTTGTGTGTTGCGTTGGGTTGCAAGATTGTTGTTGTTTCGGGGGGAAATTGACATCGACCGCACCGCACGACAGACCAATCGGTCGCGTGAATTAACGGCCCTGTCGCTGGAATACACGATTATCATTGCATTGGACTGAAGTACTGCGCTATTATATTCTGGTTTTACGAGGGGAGGCCTAATCTAAGACACCACCCCTCACCCTCACCCTCCCCCGCCAGTACGACCAAAACAAAAACAACCGACCCCGACCCACCTTGGCGCAGTCAGTCCTGACATGACCATCGCTGTCTCTGCCACCACTACAACAACCAAAACGAAGCGTCGCGAACCGTTGGGGACTATTAACATGGCAACGACCCAGGCGCAGGCGCGTCCTGCGCCGTCCGCCGGGTCTGGGACCGGTTCAGGCAGAGGTAGGCCGAGGCGAGCTAGTGCGCGATTAAGCATCAATAATCAGGATAAAAGTGACGAAATCGTGAATGGGAGTAAAGCGGAGAAGAAGAGGAAGAATGGTGAGTTCTGTTCAGTTGGGAGGGAGATTGAGGGAATATGATGGTGGATGTGACTGACTATGGCGCTAGCGTCGTTTGATGAAGACATCGAGGGGTTTCAATTCACTCGTCTTCCATCGAAGAAAATTAGGTCGTCGATCGAACCGATCCCCGAAATCTCTAGTTCAGTCCCTGAAGATGCCCCGCGACAAGCATCGCCACCGCGACGGGGACGACCGAAGAAACAGGCGCAACTGCAGGCACAAGAAAAGTTCACAGATGTCGTGGAGGAGCGACCGAAGCGAGCAACACGGGGGACAAAAGCATCAGTTGAACCAGAACCACAACCACAGTTTGATAACGCACAACGATCGTCACGGAAACGTGACCAGTCCGATGCAGCGGCCGCAGAGAAGAAGCGCAGGAAAGGGAGACCTAGTAAATCGAAACCGGAGGAGAGGAATGGCTTTGCTTCGCCGGAACAGCAAGGCACCAAGATTACGTTGCCTATGGCTGATACGCCGGTTATGCAGCGGAATAAGGAGATGAGGACGGCGGCGAAGTCAGAGAAGGGGAATCGACGAAGTAGCTTGGGAATGCGCGGGCGACGAGCGAGTTCGTTGATTGATTCTGGGGCATCGAATGGTGAGACCTTTTTATCGGAATACCAAGGTGAATATGCTAACGTCTATAGCATTGCCTCACAAGGAGGTTAACACGGCAGATTTCTATAAACACATTGGCCCCGATTTACCAGAACCTCGACGAATGCGACAACTATTGATTTGGTGTGCAACTCGCGCGATGGGCGATAAGCCTTCAGGATCACGGTCTGAGGATGAGAGTGCGCGGCTAGCAGGTATGTAGCGTGATGTCGAGCTCAAGAACAAAGCTAACACAGTATAGCACGTGTGATCCAAGAAGAATTGCTCAAAGACTTCTCGACAAATTCCGAGCTGTCCAACTGGTTTGGACGGGAAGATTCAGCACCGCCTGCTGTAGTGGTTAAGAAGCCGCATCCGAAGAATGTCCAGAATGCCGAGAAGATTAAAGAGTTGGAGGAACAAATACAACGGTAAGTTCACAATATCTTAAGACGGGCCTAATAACCAGTACTAATACGATATAGGCTTCAACGAGAACGACATTCCATGAACGCACTCCTCCGACCACCATCCATCCCCCGTATTAAACCGCCAATACCCAAGCCAGACGAACCGTCACAACCCGACTCAGCACAAACACCAAGGCCATCAGAAACAGACACCAAGATCGACCTATCCCTCCTCGACCCCTCCCAACATAAGATCCTCGCCTCCCTAGAACCAACCGCGGAACCCGCTCCCGAGCCCTCACCAACACCAACAAATACAACCTCAACACCCCTCCCCCCCATACCACCATCAGCTGTCTCCTCACGCCTCTCCCACATCACCGGGAATCTAGCACCAACCCTCGACTCCCTCGCCGCAGGTATCCACGACATCGAACTCTACCGCTCCATGTCAGACAGGGTATCATCACGCATCCTACGGATCTGCGCAGAACGGCTTGACGAGCGAGACGCACGGAATGCGATGTATCGCCTTGCTATTGAAGGCGGTAGTGATGGCGAGAGCGAAGACGGCAATAAAGAGAAGGTTGTACTGCGAGAAAGACCGAAGGAAGACTTGGGTGTTATTCTGGGTGCGTTGAGTCGGGTTGAGAGGAGATAATTCTCTTTTTACTTTCATTCATTTGCTGTTAGATTATGTGGATATACGCTCGTTGATTTTATTTCGGGTTGATTTGACCTAGTTTGATTTGATTCTGGATTGGCTCGGGATTGATTGTTAACATGGAAAGCAAGCAATGGAGTTATGGGCGTTTTCCTTCTGTTGCGAGATTTCGTTGTTAGGTTCTTCTGGATGGTATTAGGATAGGCTGGCTGGTAAATAGGCAGGTGGTATAAATGAATATAACTGGATGTATATCAGTGGTAACTATCATCTCAATTTGATGTAAGATTATATATAGAGGTAGTAACTACTCCGGTCCCTAACACGAGGTATTAGTTATTTTCTGATGGTACCATGTGACAACAAAGAAATCCTAGAATCTTTGCCAAATCTCAGTTTTCAGTTGACTAGTGTCTCATATTCATACTCATGCATCAAGATGTGCTGTGCCTCCAGGTCATCTTTAATCTTTCCCATGTCATCTTCGTCAGAATAAATAACCCGCCCTCGATCATCGCAGACTGTATATTTGTTAATATGAAACCAGAGCAATGAAAGAAAAGGTGCTTTCTGGTCCTTTTCATGTGTTCCTTGCTGTGAGGATAGGCATAAGGAAAAATGCGCTGGCTCGAACGTCAACAGGTGTTACCAGTGCTGTTGATCCGCGCTCCGATAGATCACATATAAGGGATTCCCAAGCCATTATGCAAGCCCTTACTGCTTGCCCTAGCTTGTATGTACTGCTGCATCATACCATGCGTTTCTGTATGACTACATGTTAGTCGTTTTTTCATGGGTATTAAATGTACAAATAACCAATGGCCAGAAAGACGAATTCCATGAAATAAGCTTCTCATGGTTGAATTATGTTGACTGTGATTAAAGTTCTGGAACGCGCGCGGTGTGCTGGTGTGCCGCGAGTAAAATATCTGGCTTCGTGTAGGAGTTGGTTCAAGTAAAAGGTGGTCGCAAGCCATCTTTTGTGAATGTCGACCAGAATGACTGACAACTATACCACTGTGACCATGGTTTTGATAGAAAGGTCACCCGCGATTGAAAAAAGCATCAGCTGCTCTTCGAGGCAGCGTTGGCCTCGTCCAAAATCTCCCACGAATGCTTTAACCCATTTAGTTGTCCACGGGTTGACCATTTCATGAACAATAATAACTAGTAAATGGTGGCGCCAAGGCGAAACTGACAAGTGTCAGCATAAGGAAGGCGATAACATCAAGGAGTGCAGTTGTAGAACAGGGCTATTGGGTACAGTGCTCAATGTGACCATCCATGTTCACTTCGTATCTGCATGTTCCTGGCTAGAGGTTTCGATGCGTATATTGACCCATTGCCAATATATGCCCAATTGCGACTGAGCCCTGCAATAGAATTATCAGGGCTGCAGCCTTCTCCTAGCCAGCAGCTGCTGGGAGAGCCTTTAACTTGCATTATATGATATATGCGAGCGTTTCGATGCCCATTTGCATGATAACAGGTTAGACCTGTGAACAATAGGCGCAGTTGTACCATATAATAGCATGAATGCCGGGCCAAAAAAGAGTTGAAAAGCCAGTGCCTACCAGCCCTGGCGGTCTAGATTTAAAACGATATCACGGCTAGTTCAGAACTCAGCTCTGATATTGCTGCTTTGTTAGCATCCACAATATACCCTTTCGTGTGTCGCCTTTAACGCACTATTCTCCTGATTGGGTGATCAGAAAAGGATATTGAGCACAACGCCAAGTACTTGGATGAGGAACCCATTGATGGGAGACCGAGAAACGACACCTCTGCGATAGAGTCTTGAGACCGGTCGACGGACATATAGTCCACGAACCCTGAAAATAGTGCTGCATTATGACGTTCCGTATTTAAGTCTTGGTGTCTTATCTTTTGTAATCAGCAGGGTCGATTGGGTTAAATTCTTTCTGGAGTTCCAACCAGTTCTTGCGTATGTTGACAGGATGTGTGATTCTACATTAAACGACGCAGAAATGGATTTTCGTTTTGAACTATTGGCCCTGGCGGCCCAACATGAATTGGCGTTTTGTAGAAGGGCAACTCTCATGCCTTGGAGTATTGCTGGCTTTGTTAGCATAGAACTATGCAAATCGCCATCTTGTAGGCTTAAATCCGTCCTCAAAAGCAGGGGAACGGACATCATTCCGCGCAATTTCCGAATTTGAAGGTAAGAAGGCATTCCTTTCGTGGAGATAAACCTCCAACCCTGATAGGTGCATTGATAAGGCAGAATATTACTCTCCTAATTGTCTGTTGTCGTACTTAAAATGTTCCTGCGTCACTTCACTCTACTACATCCGGCCAGCGATGCGTCCATAAAGAGAAAGGGTGCGTCGTTCAAGAGCATTGGAACATATAGGGCCCCAATTTCCCCAGTACCTCACACCACTCTCATCAAGTTGAAGTTTCGCTTCATCGATATCGCCGGCCCCCTTCTTCGCTTCAGTCCCTCATGGAAAGCGTCACATCTCTCGAGTGTCCGTCGGTTACCAGCACAAGGTCTAGACAGGGCGGTTGCGCTGCCATTGTGTTGACCGCCTCAAGGAGACATGAGTCCCAGGGCAGGAGCACAACCCTGTGACCGGCTGTTCCGTTGTGAGTATATGACAAGCAACGGCTAATTCTCATGGTGTGATGCAACAGGATGCGAATTTCTTGATCAAGTACTAACCGCTTATCTAGAATCACGTACTAGAGGCAAGCTTTCGTCCGTCGCCCTTTTTAATAGGAGAAGCATTCCGTAGAAGGTAGTTGTAGACGATGGCGCCAGAGAGACAAGATGATGGGACATGGATGCTGAAAGGATAGAGACCAGTATACAGACAGACCACACCAAGTGAAGATTTCAGCTACTTTTTCCTTTTTATCATATAGCCTGCTAGTGAATGCTATCAACATCTCGTCTCTGATGCTGCCGTTTATAGAAGCTACTCAGAAAAGCCCGCTACAAAAACCCTACTCTCTTTACATGACAGTGACTGATGCCTAATATATTTTGGTTATATACAATTCACTGCATGTGGTTCAAATGGTCAGATAAGTGTCTACCATTCTATCAAGACGTTGCGCTCACAAATCCTGGTATTATCAAACGAGCAAACATGCCCCTCTAATAATATCTACATTTTGAACTGCCACGCCTTTACCTAACGCATCGATCACCATCCAAAATGAGGAAGCCAATGTAAACTTACATCTGTCATGCTGGTTTTTGGAAGAAGGGGCTTTCACAAAACAACCCAACAATGAGTTACCCTACCTGAGTAACGCGCAAACCGCCACCCCAGTATGGTACGACGATAGATGTCACAAAGGGATTTCCGGCCTTGAAGGACCTGCGTCGTACGTCTTGTAACACGGCTGCATGGGCGCAGATCCGCGGGAGATCCTGAGCGAGGAATGTAACCACTGCCATTAAAGGATGTGGTCTATTTGTCGAGTGCGTCGTTTCCTGCTGGGATGGCAAGCGGTGCAGCTATTGTAAGGGATTCTCCTCAATAAGAGCAAAACAAGCCGATGAAAAGCTGATGGTAGTGAAATGTTACATAGCTGTGGATGGTGCCATTGACCCCTCTTTGGCCAGGCTGAGGATGCTCCTCCCAAGCGCAAGCATGAGTTAAGCAGCCCATCCCCAACTGTCCTTTCCTGATTTCATATCAATGTCTTCCGGGAGTACATACTGCTGACGTACAGACAATTGGTCTTTCCTCGGCCCAACTTAGTGGCAAGCTGTGAACGTTTCGAGCAGATTGGAAGGGAAGTTAGAGGCTTCGTGGATAGGTATACTTTCCGCGGGCCGTCGGCCCCGTTCTCCAATGCCCCTTCCTCGATATTCGGTGCAAGTTCATGGATCGAAACGAGAAAACGACATTTATGGATGGAAAGGAGCAAATCGACTGGCGCTACCAGCTTCTATAGCCTGGATCCTGGGAAGCCCGATGGTATAGGTGCGGTTGGCCACGAGGTTCGGTTATTTGTTGGGGCCAAGTCAGTTTCGCGCGTGAATCCCGCAGATACGAGGCCAGTAACGAGAATGCATTGTCTACCGATGTCTGATCGAAATTGGAATCAATCACGTCTAGGGATTAGATCAGAAAGGACAGCCTCACAGAATGCAGCGGACCGGGAGATTGGACCATCAGGGAATAACTGGTAGATTCGGGAGCTGAGCACCTTCTGGACTACTCATCATATACTTTAGCTAACTTCACACCATCACCTCTTAGTACAATCGTCTACTTTATCACGTTTTTTTATTTAGTCGTTAGGTAAATTGGTGAATAAGCCATGGTGACATAAATAACCGTGAAGAGCTCTAGATATACTTGTATTTCAATATGCTAATAGTCCAGGATAGTAGCAGGCAAATGCATGAACAATATGTCATGCGGCGATACCATCAGCAGGTACATCCGGAGCAAGAATAGCTTCATCCAAGAAAACACCTGAGAGGAAGCCCTCCAAGCAACCGGAAAACTATGGATAAAAGCAGATGAAACCGAGACAAAATACTTCACGCAAAATGAGCAACAATGGAGAATCCTGTATCGACTTAGTGAGCAATGTCCTCATCACAACAAAACAACAGTCCCAACTGACCGATTCACAGGTCATCTACAATCCAGTCACCAATTGTCACCGCTTAACATGCGTCGGACAAACACTAATGAGCATTAATGACCGATACTTCAAGGAAGACTATTACTGCGTCCCAAGAAATAAACACAAGGTGGTGATAGGATACCACGGCGAAGCTTATGATTTTGATTTGATTGTGGTTTGGTATGAATGCTTGGATTAATGGTTTATCACCGCGGAGCCGAAGAGGGATTGGATAAATCTAGCTGTTTCTATTTATATACGGTGTTTGATTCTGGCGGCGTGCGTTTTGGGACCGGTCGTTAAGACGCATTTAATTGTCTTTGCTGCATTGGCTCTTCGAAAGGCGAGGGAGCGGAAACCGGGATATGATGGATGCATTG